TGGCCAACCTAATAAGACAAAAGCCCGACGACCCCACCTTTTCAAACTCTCTTTTCACATTTTTCATCTCAACTATTCTTTTCAGGAAAAAATACAATAAAATACCACTTGAATTCTAAAAGACAAATAAGGGACCTGACTAAGCAAAAAACAAAATGACAAATAAGCATGGGTATCAATCTGGAATTCATATTTTCGGCCAAAAGTAAAAACGCCTGATGAATTGCGAGAAGACCGAAAGCTGAAAGTGAGAAAAAAGAGGAGAGGAAGACCGAGCGCTGATGAAATGCGGGAAGAAGAAAGAAGAATGTTAGAAATGCTATTATCTTACTCCTCGCATCACCATTCTGTAGAGATTGTTGATTTTGGTTGTGGGAAAGAGGATTTGTAGTGAGAGAATGAGTGAACCGAAGCGGAAATCAGCAAGCATACGTAACGTAACTGCTGTGATGTGCCTGCTGGTTTTTGTAAATCCCATTACGTGAATGGTAAATTTCACTATAATGTAGTTAATTATGAATTTTACAAAATACATATTGTGATTACAACTTTTGTAGTGAACAGTGATTACTTTGTTAAGGGGTTTTGCAACCTGTTTTCAGGGATAAACAACTTGTTTGTAAAAACTAAATAAAAGTGACAACTTTTGTAGTCACGTTGAATTAACTGGTTGCAAAAGCCATTTAAGAAGTGGTCATTTTCACTATAAAAGTTTGTTGTAAATATCACTGTGTATTTTGTAAAATCAGCGTCAAATTTTATTGATTTTTAGAAACAAGTGCTCATCCCCTGAAAAGAAGTTGCAAAACTCATTTAAGAAGTGGTCATTTTCACTATAAAAGTTGTAAATATCACTATGTGTTTTGTAAAATTCAGCATCAAATTTTATTGATTTTTAGAAACAAGTTGCTCATCTCCTGAAAAAGAGGTTGCAAAACTCATTTAAGAAGTGGTAATTGGTAATTTTCACTACAAAAATTGTAAATATCACTGTGTGTTTTGTAAATTCAGCATGGAATTTTATTGGTTTTTAGAAACAAGTTGCTCATCCCCTGAAAAGATGTTGCACAAAACTATTTAAGAAGTGGTAATTTTCACTACAAAGTTGTAAATATCACTCTATGTTTTTGTAAAATTCAGCATGGAATTTTTATTGGTTTTTAGAAACAAGTTGCCAATTCCTTGAAAAGAGGTTGCAAACTCCTCATTTAAGAAGTGGTAATTTTCACTACGAAAGTTGTAAATCTCACTATGTGTTTTGTCAAATTTATAGGAAATTTTATTAGTTTTTAGAAACAAAGCTGTCCATCCCTGAAAACAAGTTACAAAACCCATTGAATAAGTGGTCTTTTTACTACGGAAGTTGTAAATCCCACTATACGTTTTGTCAAATTTAGCGTGAAATTTTTATTAGTTTTTACAAACAAGTGTTTTATCTCCTGAAAACAGGTTGCAAAATCCATTAACAAAGTAGTCACTTTCATACAAAAGTTATAAATCACACTATGTCTTTTGTAAAATTCATAATTAACTACATGTATAGTGAATTTACCATTCACGTAATGGGATTTACCAAAAAACCAGCAGGCATCACAGCAGTTACGTTACGTAATTGCTTGCTGATTTCCGCTTCGGTTCACTCCCTCTCTCACTACAAATCCTCTTTCCCACAACCAAAATCAAAATCTCTACAGATGGTGGTGATGCGAAAGAGTAAGATTAAAGCATTTCCAACATTCTTCTTTCCTTCTTCCCGCATTCATCAGCGTCGGTCTTCCTCTCTCCTTTCTCCACTGCGTCGGTCTTCCTCTCTCCTTTCTCTCACTTTCAGCTTTCGGTCTTCCCGCATTCATCAGGGCGTTTTGGTCTTTTGGCCGAAAATATTAATTCCAGATTGGTTCCCAGTGACCTCCTTGTCATTTTGCTTATTCAGGTCCCTTATTTGTCCTTTTAGAATTCAAGTGGTATTTTTATTGTCATTTTTCCTTCTTTATTCAGATCATATTTTTTTTAATTTAAATTAGACTTTTATCTTGAATGAACATGATGATCAGTATTATAAGCTTTTTTTTTTTTTGGGGGTGGGTGTTATTTTTATCGTATTGAGTAGATGGTAGAATGAATTAGGGATAAATTAATATACGTCCCTGTGACTTCATTTTATTATAAATATAAGGGCTAATGTCTGAAAAGGCTGTAAAGATTCAATTAGAAACCTTTAAGAACCTAATTAAAAATAAGGTAAAATTATGAAAACCAATAAGCTATTTTTCACATGACTTTATCAAAATAACATATTTACATGTTTATGGAAGAAAAAGTCTGCCATTCTTGCTATTCTCCCCGATTTTAAATATATGAGTTAATTAGGAAACTTATTGTGATCATAAATATAACAACATGATTCATTTTGTCAGCCAAATATATAATTCTTTTTTTAAACTATCTATATTGATTGCATATGTTGTGGGAACTTCTATTAAGATTAATTCTAATGTAAATAATTAAAAGTGTTATTTTAGGCAAAACCAATACACATTTTTAACAAATAACAAACTTAAGTAATTTTCTTAATCACTGCAAATTAGTTAGTTAGCTTTTATATTAAATAATGAATGTAGTATTTTCTTTTGCTGTTGTTATATATACAAAGGAAGGGTAAAGAGTCTCTTCGCTTCTCTTCCTCCCCATTTCCATTCACTTCCCATCTCAACGTTAAAATTAAAAGTTTAACAGTTCAGATTTCATGTTTTTGAAAATAATTTTATAAAGTATTTTTTTGTTGTTGTTTTGAATTATACTAACTAAAATTTAGTAGTCTTATTTGATTTTATTTATTTTTTAAAATTTAACATTTTATTCATAATTTTATAAATATGAAATCTGAACCATCAAATCTTAATTTTATGACTGAGATGAGAAGTGAATGAAAATGGAAAGAAAAGAAGTAGAGACACACCCTTGCCCTTGCCCTTGCCCTACAAGAGAAGCTATTGGAAATCAAGTGTGATGGGAAAAAATAAAGGGGAGGGGGGGGGTTATATTTTAGGATGAAGCAAAGGCATAGATGTGAGAGAGGATGAGAGTTGGCATTAAGCAGAAATGAGAGACAGCTGATGAGCATTTGCTGAAACAAGGAAAGGGGAATTCCCTTTCAACCCAAAAAAGGACAATAAAGCCTTTTTATTGTTCAGTTTGAAACCTTGTATACATGTAATATTCAAGACACTAATAAAACATTCAAACGTTACTTACATGCCTTTTCTTTTGAGGTTTGATGTTACAACACACCAAAATGGCGGCCTCCAAAGTTATGAGTAGGCCCCTCCCTTCAATGAGTTTGCCTCCACTTCCTATCATCACCCTCTCATTCCCCTCAATCCACACTCACTTGTTTTTTTCCTCTTATATCCAACCATCTCTCCTTTCCGATTTTTTGCATTTTTCAGATGTCCCTGCGTGCACAAGCACCTTCCCCTCCTCCTCTTCTTTTTCCCAAGGCCAATTTAAGTTTGGTTGTTATAATTTTAATTTTTGTTAAAATTCCGTATCTAAATTTTAATTTGATGCAATTCAATTACTATAATTTAACTTGATTCAATTAAAATTTGGTTTTTAAATTTTAACTTGGAGCAACTTAGTTCATATAGTTTAAATATTTTGAATATTAATATCTGCATCTTAGAAAAACTAAAATTATTTTTTAGACGATGAGAACCAATATTTTGAATGGTTGAAATATACAAACTAAACTGTATCAAATCAAGTGTTAGGAATTGAGTTTTAACATAATTAAAACTGTAAAGATTGATGAGTCAAATACCAAGAGAATAGAAGCTTTTGGACCATATCCTAAATTTTTTTTCCCTCTTGTTCTTTTTAGCAAATTATTTCAGGACTCATTCAATATGCATAGTGGAATGAATTGGAGAAAAATAATGGAATAAAAAGTGATCATAAGATTCTACAGAAAGAAAAAAATTAAATAATAATTACGAGAATAAATTAATATTATGCACAAATTTCGTCACCTTTCTTTTTCCATCATGACACCAAGAATGGCCTTTATTAAAGAAATTGTTGGAGTATGTGGCCCAGTGGGAAAATAAAGAAATTGATGAGGCAAAAATTAACTTGGTATTCAAGGTGTCCTTAATAGCACTCACATGATTAAAGATATGCAGGAAGATTGAGTGCGCTTGTCCCATTTCAGGCGATTGTTTAAGGTGAAAAAACCACTATCAATATGCATAAAATGAGGTCTGAGGGGCCGAAGGAGATCGTAATAATAATGACAATAATAATAATTATAATGATAACGATAATGAGTATTATTATTAAGTAGGAGCATGATTAAAGAGGGAAAGAAATAAATTATTTGGCTTTGGTCATTTTAGGTCTGAGGGGATTGAATTCTTAGATAGACGTAACGTAACAGAAAGAGGAAAGCATCATTGTGGAATCACTACGGCTGAATCCTGATGGCAGAAACTTCTTCAGCCTTCAAATGGTGGAAGTTGGTTGCACCTAATAATAATGCTTTTATCAACAAAACTCAAAGAGCCTCGCATTTCTCTCCACATTTTACCTGTTGGATGAAGACACAGCCATTTATAATATGCAGCATGAAAGGCCAGCATTTGATCCAATAGCCAACATCATCTTTGCATTTAAAGGTAGGTGTGTAAAAGTTTAATTTACTTTTGATTCTGATTCAAAACTCAATCAGACTGTACTAATCAATTATGCACAAGAAAATTTACGTTTGATTTAAAATTTTCAATTCTACTTGATTTTAATTTGATCCTTTCATTTTTTCCCCCCCACGATTTATTAACTTCGGCTGTCATTTTCATGCAATACTCGTGTGATGATAAGAACTTTATATGATCAGACCGATCTCTCTCTCCTCTCTCTCCTCGCCGCGCGCGCACACAATATCTCCTTACAAGTTACTTCCTCCTCCAATCACTCAGTAACCATATAGTTACCCAGACATTTATAAACATCAAATTAAATATTCAAATAGCCAACTTTGATCTGTCATTCATTACATAATTCTTCATGAGACGTACCAAAGTTGCACGTGTGACAGAGAAAAACCCAACCCCTTTTTTCCCTGGGCGGGTAATCCCAAATCATACCCATTTTTCCCCTTATACAATGAATAATTGAACATAGTAATACAATCACGAGTACCAAAGTCAAAAAGGGACCCAGTCCTTCACTCTGATTGGGCAGGAGGACTATACCGCGGGAAATGGGGAACATGGAGGCCATATGAGAATTAAATAGAGCCTCTTTATGAATTGTGCATATTAACTGCGAGCTAAAGAGAATAACAAACTGAAAGAATCTTCCCGAAGAGGGACTCGTTTACTAGAAGTCATTTGCTTGGGCACTTCAATAATCATTCGAGGCAGCCGGTCACTAGATTGCCTTCAATCCAGCAAGCTTCCGTAGCTCCTCGCATAACATAAACGTAATTGTGGTTTGAGGCCCTAGTCTTGCGAATATTGCAAATCCCCTGACAAAAATATATCTTGTGAACAAACTTGATATGCATAGTTATAAATAAATTTTTTACCCCACACAAATAAAAGCAAGTTATGCGTGTGTGTGATAATATTACTCCTCCATAAAGTGGTTATGAAGGTGATTCTAAGAGTTATTTTAAATAGGGGAAGTAAATCATATAGTTGCAGTAGTTTTGACTCATTTAAAACCCAATTCCTGGACTTTAACTCAGCACAACTCAACAATCATCAATTCATAATATTGTGACTTGGTTTAAACTCAGTCCCTAAACTTTGTTTGATACAACTTAGTTCCTATAATTTTAGTCATTTAGAATGTTGGTCCCTACATTTTAGTAAGATAAAATTATACTACAGTTATTTCTTGAACCTGTTAACACTAAAGAGATTGAGTTGTACTGAATAAAGTTCAACGACGGAGTTTTAATTGAATCAAAACTATAGAGACTGCGTTACAATCAAATCAAAATTATAGGGACCAGATGATTAATTTTTCCTTTTACAAGGTAGTAATCCTGACATGCTATTTTTGCTCCCAAGAGGCCAAGAGACATTACAAAAAATCACAGTAGCTCATCTTAAAAGATCCGGAGATGATTGAAGGCAAATGAATCGACTGTAAGAACTAAGAATGCAAATCAAATATAAACTCACCCTTTATAAGTCCTCTTGGGCCTTCTGTAAGCAGGACCTGAAGCCACACATCACAAATGCATTGCATAAGAAGGGATTACAACATCGCAGGCATGAAATAGAATGACGTTCATAATTAGTGTGCATACAAAACACAATATACTCATATTTGAGTAAGCCCATCGCTTCATTCCTCTGTATCTGGTTTTAATAGGGTAAAAGAATTACATGGGAACCAGTTAAATTCAAATTTGAGTGACTTGAGCCGTTGCATGCACACATACATACATACATACAGACAGACAGACAGACATATATGTAAGTATCTGTAAAAATTTTGTATCCATAGCCAAGGTACTCTAAGCCCAAGTTCGAGCAGGTAAAGAAGCGTGGATTTTTATTTTTTTTTTTTTGGTTGGGGAGTGGGGAAGCTGCTAGTTTGAGGACAAAGAAAAAACGTAATACCTGATATGCACAATGAAACGCGTTTTTATAGCCTCCAGCAGTTTTGGATTCTCGTTGTTGCAAACATGAGACGAGTTTTAATCATATCCATAGGAGCAGTTATGAGGGTGCTCATTATGCCTGCCACTGTACTCGAGCTTCATAAGATACAAAGCAACATTAGTTTTTGTTTATATCAAAATAAATTTAGACCAGATTTGATAAATAGCAAAATGGGGGCGCGAATTTGAATTCATAAAACAATATTCTGAATAAACTCCATGTGTTTTAGTTCACCAACTTCTGAGTACATGCATATTCAATACTTGTTATATTGAATAATAAATAAGGGTGCGTTAATATTGGCAGAGAAAAAGGGTGCTTTATTAAGAGAAAAAGGGTAATGTTAGATTATTTTTGTTGTAGGAAATGTCAATGTGCATTGTTTTTTTTTTTTTTTAAAAAAAGGGAAGAGTGTTATTTTTTTGAAACTGAAAGAGAAATCATGTATTTTGTATACCTCTGTGGAGGAAGAAAGAATAATTAAACCTATTATAATGAAAATTTATCACATCAATAATATTTTTTGTTAGTTTTTCTTCAAACCCCAAATCTTCTCTTTCTACTCAGTCAATTTTGTTGCTTCAACCGTAGATGATTGTCTCTATTCAGTTTGCCCACTGAAGGGAGAAAAGATTGCAAGAAGAAATCGAATCAAAAGAAAAGCCATACATCAGGTGCAGATTAAATCCTTCTTCAAGAGGGGTCCACTTGATTAAGATCTGCATCAATGAAAAGGAAACCGGATAACAAGGGGGGAAACGAGAGGACTGATAGTGAATATCAATGGGTCTGGAAAGACATAATATGATTCATGCTTTAAGACAGCCAAGTAGCACTAGTTTAATAAATCAGTAGTTTGATCACAATTTTACTTGCTTGGTTTCGTCATATGTAGCCAGCTGTGATGCAGTCAAGGAAGCTGCTCTGACCATAGCAGGGCCCATGCCCTTCCAAAGGCCTTTCATTCCCTCTTGAGATATGGTCCTTCGAAGCTCTAGAATAGGTCCTCCCTTTCTCTTGTCTGGATTCATTTGCAAACGCACCTGATTGTGGGAATATGATCTTGAAGAAAAATATATGGAAAAACACGTGCTTGAATGAAAATGGAAAATTACGCTACTTCTACCTTTAGAACCTCCATTGGATTGGTCAGTGCGGTTGCAAAAGCCCCAGAAAATGCTCCAGATGCAATTTTAACTAAAACATTGGTGGAGCCAAAAGCAAGATCACAGGCATGCTTAGAGGGTTCATACAAGCCCAAGCGGAGGCCTCCATAGACACAACTGACCTTGTCAATGAAGGTGTCAAAAAGGGAAGAGTGTTATTTTTTTGAAACTGAAAGAGAAATCATGTATTTTGTATACCTCTGTGGAGGAAGAAAGAATATTAAACCTATTATAATGAAAATTTATCACATCAATAATATTTTTTGTTAGTTTTTCTTCAAACCCCAAATCTTCTCTTTCTACTCAGTCAATTTTGTTGCTTCAACCGTAGATGATTGTCTCTATTCAGTTTGCCCACTGAAGGGAGAAAAGATTGCAAGAAGAAATCGAATCAAAAGAAAAGCCATACATCAGGTGCAGATTAAATCCTTCTTCAAGAGGGGTCCACTTGATTAAGATCTGCATCAATGAAAAGGAACCGGATAACAAGGGGGGAAACGAGAGGACTGATAGTGAATATCAAGGGTCTGGAAAGACATAATATGATTCATGCTTTAAGACAGCCAAGTAGCACTAGTTTAATAAATCAGTAGTTTGATCACAATTTTACTTGCTTGGTTTCGTCATATGTAGCCAGCTGTGATGCAGTCAAGGAAGCTGCTCTGACCATAGCAGGGCCCATGCCCTTCCAAAGGCCTTTCATTCCCTCTTGAGATATGGTCCTTCGAAGCTCTAGAATAGGTCCTCCCTTTCTCTTGTCTGGATTCATTTGCAAACGCACCTGATTGTGGGAATATGATCTTGAAGAAAAAATATGGAAAAACACGTGCTTGAATGAAAATGGAAAATTACGCTACTTCTACCTTTAGAACCTCCATTGGATTGGTCAGTGCGGTTGCAAAAGCCCCAGAAAATGCTCCAGATGCAATTTTAACTAAAACATTGGTGGAGCCAAAAGCAAGATCACAGGCATGCTTAGAGGGTTCATACAAGAGGCCTCCATAGACAACTGACCTTGTCAATGAAGGTGTTCAAACCCAGATACAAGGACCTTGGTCCTTCATTTTCAGGACTCGAAAAAATAGTTTGCCCTGAATAAATTATTCAATAGAAATTCGGTAATATAATATGACAAGCAAGTACATTTGGAGGACGGATTGAAGGAAGCAAAGTACCATCCCACTCAAAGGACCTCTCTGGCCAACAAGTTGCATTTGCAGCCTGACTTTCAGTACATCTGCAGAGGATGTAGAACAAAGGTAAAAATAAATTTTTGATGAATTATTTTATATCTCCAAAACCTAAATACTCAATTTCTTTCTTTGTATTTCCCCCTTTTGATAAGAAATGTTTGATTTCTTCTCAGTATGGCTCAAGCACAGGTAATCTTCACCATCTTAAAAGTTAAGATATTTTCTAAAGCTCAACAAAATTTCTGACATAACTTCTACTGTAAAAATGTGTACCCGAGAACAACATCCAAAACTAATACACCAGTGAATCCTCTCCTTTATCATTCATATAAAATCTTTCATGCAAGGCATAGATGATTCATTAGAAACATAGCATAAATTTTCATTTGCTCCGACTAATTTGCCAGGCTGACTGCTAATGTATAATTTCTTGATAAATAAATATTTTCCTCTGGATGAAAATCTAGACACAAGAATACCATCAATCCCCACGCTGCAAACAGAACAGGTCAAACCATTTTTTGAGAATGTGATAGCTATTCCCTGTCAAATTCAACCTACAGCAATAATTTGTTGTTTTCAACTACTCTAAGGGGGTGTTTGGATGAAAACCAAATCGTGGTTTCAAAAGTGCTTTTACGGTTTACGAAGTAAATATGTGGAGGAGTTTGCCTCGTTTTGCGTTTTGAGGGTTGTCAAACACCTCCTAAATCAATGATTTCTAAGTAGCTAATTAATACATGGTTCCATTCTCAGCTTCTCTTTCATCTTTCATTTTGCCATGCATCATGAATCAATGAACTGCATTCTCTGTTGATGCTACAAAGAATTCAACACCCAATTTTTTTTCAAAAAAGATTGTGACATCAAATGCAAAATGATCTAAATCAATGAAATCCCATCTGAACTCTTTTTTCTGCAGAAGAAATGATAAATCTTCGATACGACACTTGCAAGTGCGTTGGCAAAATAGGTAAACAGTTTATTAGATTCAATCATGGGCAAGCATGCGTGAACATTTCTCAAACTACGGTTCCGTAAACCAAAATCCACATTATTGAAAGGGGAAGAGAAAGATAGAAAGAACCTAAAGGATGAGTAATTGCAGTTGCCACTGCGACAGAAACTCCGCTAGTAGCAAAGTGATTGAAAGCCGAGGAAGGGGAAACAGCCCAACTCAACTTCTCGCCATTCGCAGGTCCTGAAGATTTTCCACCATCTCAGCAAACGCAATTAAACGTTTACAATGCAAAAGAAATGACTTGTAATGGTGGCAGAAAGAAAACTTAATACACGCTAATATAAGGGGTCAAGAAAGTTTTGAGCAGAAGTTGGTAGATAGAGGATCGACATGTTCTTCACGGAGGTAATAAACCCGCAGTCTACGCTCCCATCATCATGCTGTAAATCATTTGGAGCATACATATGCGACCTCAATCAATTCTTAAATGAGGGGTTCTCAGAGAAGAAAACGTACCATTTGAGTTCTATCTTTCTGCATCGTTCATTCGTCCCCCCCCCCCCAAAAAAACAGAAAAAAAAAAGACGCTAGGATATCGAATGCTTGCTCTAAAGCTACAGGGGAAAAAATGCTAAGCCTGAACCTTCAAATCTAAATCAACAGAAATAATAACAGATCCAGGGAATAAATCCTTAATTCAACTGCATTCAATTATACGAAATAGGTCAGCGAAGGCCACCTTCGGCATAATCCGAGCAAATCTCAGCGGAGGAAATCCATAAAGATTTGAAAAGCGGGGCATTTGCCGTAATGTGTCAGCAGTGAAATAACGAAGATTGAAAAATAGTCCAGCGAAAGAGAATCTAACATAACCTGAAGGTCCCAACTTGTTGGAGGCAGGATTTCCAGCCATTTCTGCTTTCACCTGTTTCCTGCTTTCAGTGTTGAAGATCAAAACCGTACATAATGGGGAAGAAAATAACGAGAGAAGATTTTGGATCAAACAAATCCTTTGCTTTTTGGGCAAAAAAAACAAAACAAGTCCTTCGCTTCGTTAGAAAAGGTCCATATAGGGGGGGGGGGGTTTAGAGATGGGTCTGGCAAATGGGTCAAGTAACCCTGAGAAAATTAACTGTTAAGCTGCAAATAATTTACAATTTATGATCTCATTTTTAGTATTTTTTCCTGACAAATTTTTTTTAGTATTAACTCTAGTTTCAGTTAAAAAAAAATTAAAATTCACTTTGTATCTTATATTTATTTATTTTAAAAAATTTTTGTAATAATTGTACATATAATTAGCCAATACATATGATTAGTAAGAGTATTTTAAAAAAATAATATTTATTTATTATAAATAAATAATTTAATTAATTTTTTAATCTATTTAAATCAGTTAATTAGTTTCTATATTAAGAATAAAAGGAAAAGTAGTATTTTATATAAACAATAACATATGATTATATCATGAAAAATCAAATACAATTATAGCGTTGTTGATATATTAAATGAATAGTGAAATAAAATATAATTACTTTATTTGACAAAAAAAATATGATTACCTCTTTTGTTTTGCTAGAGAAATATTATTAGTCAAACAAGTCTTTTTGGTTTTTGTTTTGAGCCTGCTTGTTTTTGTTCTTTATTTTCTTGTTTTATAATAATTTTATAAAATTAATTTTTAAAATAAGTGTTGAAAAAAATTTGTTTAAATAATAATTTTTAAAAAAATCACATTTAAAAAATTATAAAAAATTACACTTGACCGTTGATAATAGTAATAGTTGCTGTTAACAGTGATAAGTGATAGATAGCAAGTTAAAAAAAAAAGTATTTCTTAAAAATTTTGAGAATAAAAAATAAAAAAATAAAAAAAGGAAATTTTGTCAAAATTATTTTAGTTTATTTTTTAAAATTGTTTTTCTATTTTTAGAAGCAAATTTTAAAACCAGAATCCAAACAGCCCTTTCATCATCGATTCGGAGAAGGAACATTTATTTTTATTGAATGAGCCATTGCCAACCCTAGCGGACCTTTGCCTCCATTCTTCTCCGATTCCCATTCAATCTGCTGAGAGGTGCCGTCGTGAACTCAGCTGCCGTCGTGATCTTCTTCGACCTACATTGAGGTGCGTTCTTTCTTTCGCTTGCTTTTTTTGTTTTTTCCGTTCGCGTCACTTTGTTACCCCCTGGTTCGCTGTTTTGCTCTGTTTCCTGCTTGTTATAATTCGGGTTCCTATATATGACCGATGTGTTTTGTTTTTTGTCCTCCTTTATATGTATTTTAGATTTTATCAGAAAAATGAATTTATATTAAAAACACTTGTTTTTTTAACGTTTCTGAATTCCAAACAAACTAAATAACCCTGTAACCCGCCTCTTACGTGCCTGACGCTGCAGTGCCTTCTCTGCTTGCAGAACTGAAGTCGACGACCACGCCGGAGCCAGATGCGACTTCTGTTGCAGGGTGCATAGAAGACGTGGCGGGTCCTGTGTCGAAGTCTTCTAGCGGCCATCCCGTTTGTGGCATAAGCATTCCTTTCAGCTACGAGCCCAGATACGAATTCGTACCTAGGGCTTGATTTTATTGCAAACTCAAGTAACATTCTTCACTTGAGCTTGTCAATTTGGCAAAACTTTGGGTTTTTGGACTTCACTTCACTCAAGTTCTGATTCTTCTATTTTTTTGGCTTTTGTTGCTAGGGTTTTTTTTCTGGCTCAGCAATTGGCTGCAGAATTGTCATAGAAACATCGATGCCTAGGTATGTACTCAGTGTTCTAGGTGCTTGATTATAGAGAAACTTATCAACAGTTTTTTTCTTCTTCTCCCCAATCGGATCTGCAGGTACTACTGTGACTACTGTGACACTTATTTGACCCACGACTCTGTAAGTTCTGTGACTTATGAATACTCTGCACCAGTTCTTCACTGATGTAATTTTGATTGTGGTTTTGGGACTGCTTTACTATTGTTTACTCAAGCTTAGCTTGTCAATGCTGTTATTGTTTTCCGTTTGCAGTCAATCCATGTGTTTATTCTGACCAGAACGCAATAGAGATTGATACAAAAGGTAGACAATGTCCCTAGGTGTGTTTAAAGCGTTTGACCTCTAAAAAATCTTAGGGGCGGTGCATAAGAAGGCATAACCCCTCGTGAAGCAAGGAAAAGTGCAAACGCTCATTAAGTTGGTTGTTAAAGCAGGAAAAATGTCTGCTACATAAATAATAAAATAATACGTGTAAGTTTTCACATATGATGCATCAATGGATTTTATTCTGCAAGCTCATCAAGTAGATTGAATGACTTCAAGAAAGAAAATTAGGGGGGAAAAAGCCTTCGAGATTGGATTTATCTGTCTTGTCCATCCATTCAACATAATGGAGCACCTGTGTCCTTAAATCTTAGTGATTTTGCAACATAACTTGGGGCTCAAATTTTGGGCCATATTGCCCAATGGCTTTAATCATCTGCTTAAAAACGTCCATTCAAGCAACATTGAATGGAATCCTAGTTTGCCATATAAGCCTACTAATGCATTGATAAGCCAGAGTCCTTTTCTCATATAATTTAAGTTTAACTACTGCGACTCCCCTTTCCATAGTAAAGCCTACTCGTTCAATTTTTTGTCTTACAAAGGAATTTAGTGGACCCTTTTGCCTAGGCTTCTTTGACAACGGCACCACACTTTAAGCTTGTCTGCCTATGTTCTCGTCAACACTTTCAGTCTCAATTGAATCATCAATCGTTTCAAAACCAATTTTTAAAGGCGTATCCACATGTTGCTTGGTTCTGCTTTTTCCCTCCATGTATCCTTTCAACTCTTTCCTAACATGCTTCGGAAAAATGAAAAAAAGTGCTGAAGGTGGTTGCTCCACAAAACTAGTTGAAGGCAGCGCCTCTTATGATGTGAGATACTCTGAGGCACTAGCCTTCCATAGCACCCTGCCTTGTTGAGACAAGCATCTTTCACTACGTTCTTATGCCCACCTTTCAGAATGTTGTTCTTATGCCAGATGTTCATGTTTGGTATACGTCCATGAGAGTTCTTGCCTGCTTATACCCCTTGCTTACAATATTTGTCTGTATTGCAGCCATCAGTTAGAAAGCAGCATAATGCAGGTTACAAGCACAAGGTATTGTGCACATATAATTTCCTCATTATTGCATGATGTATATACTACATGACATCTCTCTCTTTTTTGCTCATTTTCTTCCCTATTCTTGATGCCAGGCAAATGTGAGAGCCTACTACCAGCAATTTGAGGAGCAACAAACCCAGAGTCTAATTGACCAAAGGATCAAAGAACATCTTGGGCAAGCTGCAGCATTTCAGCAGGTTGGTGCAGCTTTTAATCAACATTTGTTGACTCAGAGGCCTCGCTTTCCAGTCTTGCCAACTCCAGGAGTGCCGATTGCTGGAAATGCACAAATTCCAGGAAGTCAACCACTAATGCCAGGGATCAGACCTCCTGTGTTGCCTAGACCAGTTCCTGGCGCTCCAGGTGGATAATACTTCTAGGCAATCATTTCTTGACTCAACTTTTTTGGCCCTCCCTATCTAAGCATTGGTCTTGCATGGGTTGTCATGTAATTTGCATTTTACATTCAAATATCTGCAGTTACCTATGCTGTTGCCGGTGACTATAATTATGTACATAGTACATGATTTTCAATCATAATATATTCTGGTTTCCATTACTACAATTGCCTTTTCAGATGAATTTCAGTTTGCTTGTGTGACCATCTTTATTGGTGCTAGTTCTCTCAACAATTTTAGTTTTCTTCAAGAAGTTTTCATTGTTTAATCTGTCAATCTTTGTTAGTATGACAATCACCTTTCATCTCACGGCAAAAGGGAAATTGGTTGGTCATCTAGCGATGTGGGATTTGAATGATTTTCAATGGGTGTTCACAGGATATGCTTCTGTACCTTCCATGCCCCCAATGGTCCCTCCACCAGGTGCTCCTCTGGCCCCAGGTCAAGCAGCTCTACCCAGGCCTCCTACCCTAGCTCCCCCAGCCACTGCTCCTGGAAGTGCCACAGCACCAACGTCTAATGGTGCTCCTGTGGCTTCATCAGCTATGTATCAAGCCAATCCACCAGCACCATCTTCTGGCGGTTATGAGGGTTTCAATGCTAATGCTCAGTCAACTGAAGGCAATCACTGACGTGGTAATATTGATGCTATGCTGTAATTTACAACTCATAATGCCATAGTGATTTTATGATCATGTTCAACCTGTTACTTTTATTTAGTTTATTTTTATTTTTGTTTGGCCCCCTGTTCTCTGCATAATTCCAGAGTATTGTGATTGAAATTATTGTGTTCTTCCTACAGGTATTCGATCGACAGATTGCCCCTTTGGCAATATCAGAGTAATCACGTGCTGATAATCTTGGCGCCTAGAATGTAGAGATTAGTGACTGTATTTTTGGACTAAAGAAGGAATTTATGTATTTTACTGCTGATTACTCGTATTTATGTTGACCTTGTTTTGTTGATAAATCCTATCTTGATTGGAAGGGCGAGAAAGAATTGATATCCAATGCAGTTATTTTAATTGTCATTTAATTCTGTTATTCGGAAAGAATAGGATTTGCTATCATGCATGATTGTGTAGTGCTTCGGAGGTTTTATTTGGCAAGAGGCTTCTCTCCCATACAAGTTGCTTCATGCGCAGAGAAAGAGAGGTGGATTCCATATCCTCTTTTTTTGTCTCTGCGCAAGATGTGGAGAGGCTCATAGGCTATGCCCATCTGACTTATTTTGTCAACTATCAATTTCTGGCGTCCAATTATTTACTTGCGGTAAATTTTAGTGCTACATAAAATTTCCGAACTCCAAGTACGCTAATGAAAAGGAACCGGCCCAGCTGGTAGATTCTTTATGATTTCACTTGCAGACTATAATTTCATGCTAGGCGAATCCGACGTATTCAGACTGAGATGATACATACAAAGCAATTTATGGGCTGTGGTCAGTGTCTATATAATTTATGCCCCTTGTCTTTACCCCCATCCTCTGCTATAATTGTAATCTGCTACAAGTAGGATGTACAAAAAGGCCAGTCCAATTCTGGCCGAGGACCGTTATATTCCGAGGTACAAAAAACTGCATAGGGACGCACACCGAAAGTCAAGCAAATGAGAAAATAGTACCACTACAGAACGTCAAGGTATGGATCAATTCGATCAGTTTAAATGGGCTCCACATGGACAAGAAAGCCGTTATCTTTTATATCAGCTGTGAATTTGATGCACGTACAAGTTGCGACGCCTTTGGTAGGCCTTGCCAAAACGGCGGCTTGATGTGTTGTGGCATTTCCTAGCAACCTGATTTGCGAAGAGTGTATGCCTGCCATTGGCCAAATAAACACCTGATTTTCCAAGCAGAATAGACTATGCACAAGCATTTGCAATCCAAAGGATCCTACTTTGTGCTACAAATTGATTCAGTTATCAATCCAGAAAGTTACGTATTAGCTATCTCGATAACTCAACGCACTTGATGCGTGTTCTTTCCTTTTCTTTTCCCACTTTTAGACGCAACAAATTCCTTTGAGTGGCTGACAACCATGTGTGATTCTATTATTACATGCCAAACCAAGGAAAAGGATTCTAATGCATGTAGACTAAGGAAAAGACGACAACAAAGAAAACACAGCTCAGATTCTATCATACCTCTTCTGTTTTTTTGGCCAAAAGATTCTATCATACCTCTCAAGTTCCAGTTTCTGGGTCACTATTCCACTCAGAAGAAGCTCTGAACCGTAAACTGCAATTCCTGCAAGTTTCATGAATTTCTATATTGAGATCCCACATAGAATGATCTCAATAATTCTGACAAGATATAAATTGTCTTAGTGGATACCTCTCTGAAAGAACGGGCGGCATACTTCACGGTCTTCTTCACAAGAAATAATCAACAGATTATCTAACATCTCATCATTGTTGTCTGCATGAATCTGGCTTTCATCCACCAACTGAAAATGTCAACAGTTTCTTCAGAAATTTATGGTAAAAGACGAGTAGGGAGAAAAATAAAAAATTAAGTTGTCCAAAATGGCTTATCACCAACACGGCAACCACAACATAATATCATCGACTGCAGAGTGATATGCATTGGAAATGCGTACCTGACCGCGAGCAGCCGTGACTAAGCTTGTGATCACTGTGTTATCGGGTTTAATGTGAGGGGTAATGAAGACACTTTTACCCTACAGAGGCCAGCAAGAAGAGATTAAGACATGGATATCAAGGTGTTTGAAAATTTGGCTTAAATCTAAGTGTGTATATTCACCTTTAGAAGTGGTTTCTGTTTTGCTCGAGCAAGAGAAATAGGCATGGTAAAGCCCATCTCCTTTTCCTTTTTCACATCTCTCAGAATATATTTTTTCTCATCAACTAAACAGTTGGCTTGTCCACAACTCTCAAGCCATAAATGCGTCACCACCAAATTCCCAAGAGCCATGGTTTCCAACATATTCTTTGTACGTGTGAATTTGTCTGCTACAAAATGTGTAGCCTCCATAGGGCTTGATGCAATAGATACATTCATCCGTGCCAAGATCTGCAGGGAAGAAACAACATCTTCACCCTTATCGTTTAACAAGTCCCACAATGTCTATAAAAGCAAGATCTTACCTTCTTTTGCTGCTTAATGATACTGTCATCCAAATGTTGGCTTAAAAGAACTCGAACATGTGACATATCTTTTCGTTGTCTCAGATTTTTCCCTATCAGATCTGGTGCGTACTCAGAAACGCCTAATCTAATAAGCTCCTTTAAAAGGTAGGATTTTGGCAGGTTTTTGTTGCTTGGCTTTTTGTGATGCTTATAGCAAGTAGCATTGGCATTCGAAACCTCTCTGCCTACATTGATGGTGCCACTGCCGATACATTTAGCATTATAAAGAGGATGGATGTTAGGAAAACATGCTTTGTTCTCAATATCTTGGCCTTCTATATCTCCCCGAATTCTGTGATTTGCGATAGAGAAGATACTACTTTCATTTCCATTGACAATGATAGACTGAGTACCCCAACTTCTAGCTGCATCTGGATAGCTTTTTACGTCAGGACATTTTCTTTTCCCTCTTGGTCCTTTCGGATAATGCCACAAGTTAAGACTTGAAAAACTGCTGCTAGTGGACAGCCGGGGACAAAGTTGAACCTGACAATTCAAACTTTTCTTCGTAGCTATCTCAATTAAACTCGAAGGCTTCATAAGATATTCAGCCTTACGAACCAGCTTGAATGGATCGGCTGTTAAACCAGTCCTTGTCCTTTTGGATCTCACAATACCTCCATCTACAAAATTATTGTTCCTCTTTCTTTGTTTATTTGATTGATCTTTGATACTTGTGCATCGACTATCAGGAGGGGGCAAATAAGCTAAGGCCTCCATAGCTTCAGCAGCTACCTGGGTGTCTAAACCAATATCAGAGGCGTCCTCCGTATGTTCCACACCAGGATACGCGTCAATGTTCTTTCCTGCAGCATCTGACTGAACATCCAGCTCCTTGATAGAGTTATTATTCTCAACTGTTCCTAGTCCTTGAGCTAACTTCTCTTCGCATCCATTACTTGTGATACAGATTTCTCGATTCTCAGGATGACCACTTTTCTGTTTTCTTCTTGTGTATGTCTGTACACAGACCCCAAAATTAGAAGATGTTGCAATCCTATTGGAAGTACCAGCTCCTCTGTCCTTTCGACCGGCGTCAACCCATTCGAAGGGTCTTTTTTCTTCATGATGGATCTGAACTTGAATTTTCTCCGCCAAATTTCGTACCCCTCTCGCACTTATCAGAGGTGGTGATTTATCTCTACTGGCCTTTCCATGGCAAATTCCTGGAAATAATTCTACTTTGTTGACTGACAAGTAGTGATCCACATATCCCAGTGCATCGGCTTGGGTTAAATCTCCATGTCTGGAGACGGTATTTGACTCAACTTTGTAGATAGATGTTGATGATTTTTGTGATCAGAGCTCTCAGCGTCAGTTGATGTTTCTTTGTCCCCTTCAAGGATATAGGATGTTCTCCAAAAGTTAATCATCCATGAATGCCTTAGAACAAATTACTTCCGTATACTAATTAATGTTAGACAGAAAGTATATGTTATAATAACAGTAAAGAAACACTGGCAAACATGAGTAACAAGATGATTAATCGAATAACTTGAACTTCTGATGCAGATAAAAGATGCTTACCAGTAACAGATTTCCCAGAAGAAAGGATATCTGTGTTTGCTGCTTCCTTCTCCGCTTGCTTACTAGGTGAAGGTGGCCCAAGTTGCCTCCTCTGGAACTTTATTCTTGGATTTTTAACTGTTCGATAAGCTTTCTTGTTCCGCAACCCTTTGGAAACAGTCACAACTTCACTGCTGTGCATTTCTTCATCCTCACTGTCAAGCACTACTTGTTCAAATGCACTCATTGGACCAGTGGTCATGTTTTCTTCAGGGTTTGAACATTCAATGAAGTCAGAATCACGTTGAAGGTTTCCAACTGAGTTTCAACTAATGGACTAAGAAGCATTAGGTGACTAAGAAGCACTACTTCGAAGAGTCCAGTCTACTCAAATTGCTGGTACAATCTTTATTTGCAAATTTGAAATTACCTCCTGATTGTAGCCAAAGTGCCAAACAAAATTCTTGTCAGACAATTTATCATACATATCCAGAAGCAGCAATAAACGCATGCTTCTAGCATAAATTCACTCAAAAACTCATCTGTCAATTCACTTTGTGGCATGCCGGCCATGCCCTGATATTCCTTCTAGGTACTTGCTATTTGCTCAAACAGTGTGCATGTTCTAAAGATAGAGTCTGAATACATAAAACATTCTGTATTATTTTCTGATCGACTTATGAGTGGAATTCGTGGGATATATGTTCCAGAGTCTAGCGCCATTTGAAGCGGAAAAATCACAAATAGCGATATCGGGAAAATCTATATTTGGCTAGCAGTTGGAATACCAATATATACCCAAATGATTAAAGAAACAAGAGATTGTCTGGATAACGTCAACGAACACAAGAGGATCGAAATAACATTTTTGCTTGCAGTCCTTTATTTTGGTGTTTAAGAGCGAACAGAAAAGAAATAAAAACTACCAGTTGGGGATGACTGTGGAGACAGAATGAGGGGTATGCGCCTCAAGTATGTTCCGTGGCCAACGAACTCTGCGTGCGTTTGGTTCTTCCTCAGAAATTCGTCGAAAAACCTAATAGAGTCAAAAGGAAAGTACTGACGGCAAACAGAGAATCGATGGAAAGTAACATAAACGTTGCAGCCAATTCGACGAAATGCTTGAATTTGGAGGGAAAATGAAAATGGAAGACGCCGTCTCAGATAATCATCACTTCGACACTCCGCGGGAAAACATATATTTTATTGCGTTTAAAGTTATAATTAATGTTTTATAGTTTGTTTCTCCTATTTATAATTTTAAGTCTCCAACAAAATTAACTTAAGACATTGTTGTGATTTTTTTTGGGTGGGGACTTCAATTTTTTTTAGAAAAAAGAAAAAGCTCCCAAGAACTTTTAGTTATTTTCTTACGGTTTAAATTAATTGCTAATGAGACTTTGGCACTTATTACCAATTATGCAAAATTAAGGTATTTAATGAGGAATAAATCTGTCATATTTGTCACTTGGTCTTGTGCTCTCGTCTACATTTGGCGTTGATATGATTTATGATTATTAGAGTTAGAAGCAAAAATAGGTCAAGTAACTTGTCAGGATCTGGCTTATTTTAAAATAAAAATAAGCTTAGACCTTTTTGAAAGTTTGTCTAGTTTAATAGGTCAGGCCTAGACTTTTTGAAAGTTTGTTGAGCCTGTCAACATAACTTATCTTGTTTATTTATCTTAATTTTAATTTTTGTTTTGTATTTACATCTATTATTATTCCAATTTTTAACATATAATTACAACTTGTTTTTAATAACATTAAGTGTAATTAAGATTTAAAATAATACCTATGACATTAAAATTTAAATAAAACCATATTAAAAAATAATTAATATTTAGTACGCATATTTTTCTTTTTTATTGTTCTATGTATTTTTTATTATACATTTTGAAAATTTTAAATTACAGGTCTTTTTAAAAGACTCAAGCCAAGCCAGGCCTTTGTATGAGTCAAATTTATATTAGAAACAAAGTCTATAACGAGCCACAAGTCAGGCTCAAACTGATTTGTTGCCAAATAAATCTGTCCTATTAAGAGTAAAGTTTGACCTGTTTATTCTCACATCCCTGCTTAAAACCAAAATTGGTAATAGTGAGGTTTAAATTAAATTTTATGATTAAAAAAAAAACACAGAAGAGCTCCAGATTAGGTAATATAATATTCAACTTTGTCCCCCCGCCCCACAAACCCCCTAATGTAATTAATTGGTAGCCTTTTTCCTTTTTGGGTCAAAGGTGGGCCTAATTTAAAGTGATATCTTGTTTAATTTTCTGGGAACTATTGGGAAACGGTTGAATCATCTGTCATTCACGTCACATGGGCTTGTCGAGCTGCGTATTGCCACTTTCCAAAGCTCCAAATTTGAGGGCATCTCTTCAATTGACTGCCTGCGAACTCACCTGAAGCTCAACTCAAACTACTCTGCAAACTTACTTCCTTTGTTATTCTCTGGAATTGATCCATTCTTCTGCTATAGATCATGTTAAGGACAGTTTTGAGGTCGGCTTCTCCTCCTTCTGGTCCTTTTAGTTGGCTTTATATCCTTCTTTGTTACTAGAAAGTTTGTTGAAGCATGAATGGTTTTTTAGTTGTACTTTTGGTCTTTTCTCCATCTACAGCTAATCCCCTTTTAATTTTGTACACAAAATCGGCTTTCTCTTACTGGGGAAAAAAGGCTTGTAAGATTGTCTTGCCTTTCTGCTTTTGCCAATAGTTATATTGAAAGGACCAAGACCAACTTTTTCAACTTATAGTTTTGTATTCCCTGATCCTGTGAATTTTCCTTTCAACTTTGAGCAGTTTTGAGTTCTGAATATGTAGCTTTCAGTATTTTTTGGTGATTCTGAAAACAGTAAAAAGGTCTTTGATTCGGGGGCTTTGCTCGCTGAGAGCTTCAATAGGTTCTTGTCTACTCTGCCTAGAAGGTGTGGCCAAGTATCCTTCATCTTCTCTTTGGGTTTACAGCTCTTTTTTATCTTTTTATATATATAACCCTGCCACCATGTAAACGCTAATCGTCAGAAACAGAAATACCCCCCCCCCCCATATGCTCACATTGGCTTTTTCGGTTGTTGCCACCATGTAAATGCTAATCGGGACAGAAATATCTCCCCCATATGCACACAATTGGCTTTTTCGGTTGTTCTTTTGCTGTAGAGACAATGATCATTTGTGCATGAAACTTTCATAGCATGTTGATAAACCTTTGAGCTATGCAAACAGCAAATGTTTAGCATTTGATATGATATGATATGATGGTTTAGGAAGCTAGAAGACAAGGTTGCATTGATCACTGGAGCAGCAAGCGGTATAGGAAAGGCTACAGCAACAAAATTCATCAACCAGGGTGCAAAAGTCATAATTGCTGATATCCAACAGCAGCTTGGCCAAGAGACAGCAAAAGAACTAGGCCAAAATGCTACCTTCATAACCTGCGATGTCACTAAAGAATCAGACATATCCAATGCTGTAGATTTCGCCATTTCTGAGTATAACCGACTTGACATCATGTACACTAACGCAGGGATAGCCTGCAGAACTCCTCCAAGCATTGTGGACCTTGACCTGACATCATTTGACAAGGTCATGGACATCAACGTTCGAGGAGTCATGGCAGGGATGAAGCATGCGGCACGTGTGATGATCCCACGTGAATGTGGGTCCATTCTGTGTACAGCAAGTGTCACCGGGGTGATGGGTGGGATGGCCCAGCACACGTACTCAGTGTCCAAGGCTGCTGTGATAGGCATTACGAAGTCTGTGGCATCAGAGCTGTGCAGGTATGGAATCCGTGTGAATTGCATATCACCTTTTGCTATTCCCACTCCTTTTTGCTTAGAAGAATTGAGTCAGATATATCCACATTATGATGCCCACCAACTTGTTCAGCTTGTTCATAGTTTTGGTGTCTTAGAGAGAACGAATTGTGAGCCCGAGGATATTGCCAATGCTGCACTTTATTTAGCCTCGGATGATGCCAAGTATGTTAGTGGGCAAAATTTGGTTGTGGATGGAGGTTTTACATCTTTTAAGAGTTTTGTGTTACCTGCTCCAGATCATCAAGTGCGGTAAAAAATCTGCATTGCTTATATATCCAGAAGAATGAATATATATTTATATAAATAAAGTAATGAGCAACCCCTTTCATTTCAACTGTGAATAAATTCCTTTTGAAACTCAGTCAAACATGGAACTTGGAGCCTTCCTAGAGTAAAAGGGACAAGGTCTTAGCTCTGATTGTGGATAAAATGGCTGCAAAATCAGGATCGAGAGGAGATGATAATGGAGCTAGCATATATTCTGATAAAAGAACAAGAACAAAAACCATTATCTTCATCAAAGCTGAAGAATTGTTGAAATGACAGGCAATGGTCCCTCCCAGTGGAGGGATTCTTGTGCTAATGTCAAATTAGGTAACTCTCTGATTTGCACAGGACTTTTATAACAGCGTCTAAGAGGCGTGTTATCTCTAGTTCTTTGCTTGCCTCAATTGCACATGCTTGTTTTGCTTGTATTCTTTGTTAAGTGTGCGGCTCTGGAAATATGACTTTTTGTGTCGTTTAACTTCAGAGACTCTTGTGTTTTTCTTCGTGTTCACATAAATGGATGATAAAAAAATAAAATACGTAGATGAACCTCCTGCAATTCAGAGGCAATTTATTGCGGCAACTATTTGCAATAGGACTCTCATTTGAATTTGGATCCATTTTCTGATGGAGGGTAGCAAGTTATAATAATAAAAAAACTTAGGATAAATTAAACTGATTTTCTTTTGAACTTCTAGCCATGTATTGTTTGACAATGAATTCTACCTTCTTTTTTTTTTAATTTACGATATAATTCTCTTCCACTAGTTTGTTTTTCCTCTGATCTCATGGAAGGAAGACGCTTTAAAAACAAATTCTTCACATTTTATTTTGCATAGATAATTTTTGATGTATTATATTTTCGTTAGTATAATAACAAGCTGAGTAGAGATGTTCATTACTTTTAAAAAAATTAAATAGAAGGAAATTTATTTAAATTTAAAAAATTGAAAACCGTCTGCGAATTAATTCAAGTTTCAAAAAATTTCATGTAATCTCAACTGGAATAAACATACGTCATTTTCGTCTGACCAATCCAATACCCAAAAAATACTTAGAAGTTGGAAGCTGCAAATATATCTACTTTCCATAAGTTGAATGGTAATAATAAACTAGACAATATAAAATAAGTAACTTGTTATTGTTAACGACATCAGCTAAGTCGAGATCATCACATTACAGAAAGCCAAAATTTGTCCGGAAAAAGAAAGAAATGTAAAAGAGAAAAACATCACAAGGCTGCATCAATGCGATATGCCATTTGGTTCCATAGGCAACAAAATGGCTGCATTGTGCTGCAGGACTCGGAAACGTCGCGATTACAAGGTTGTTGAGTCTGCTGTGCTAGCAATAGCACTCCGGTTGTTGGAGTCCTCCTTTGGACAAATGATCATCTTTTGCACCATGGACTGGAAATCCCTGCGCAAGTTTATGGGAGAATTCAAACGAGCGGTAAGTAAGAAGTTCAACTGACCCCACGCATTTCATCTAAATTGGTCGAGTGCAATATGCTGATGGATTAGCTGCAAAAATTGCCCAAGTGACTTCCCAAAAAAAAAGAAGAAAAAAGAACACTTGTAGCTACCATGCATGAAGTTTTACTTACCGAACTTAGTTTAGTCAGTAATTTTAGATATAAGTTGAAACTGCAGTACAGAGACAATACCAAAGGTGGAAAATATAGAACTGTTTTCACACTATCATGGATTTCACACTTAACTGCCATGGGAAATCTCCAAACAGCATCATATCCCCGTCATCATCCATGGGAACAACATGCCATCCGCTGCTTCCATCTATTAAGCTTCCTTTGAAATCAAACATCAGGTCCAGTTCAGAAATGAGGTCATCGTATCCAGTAATATGTGAGAGGTCAATCGATCTACCAAGTGCACTTCCACGCTTAAGCACCTGAAATAGAAATGTTACCATTGTTGCAGATTATTTAGCATACCTCAAAAACTTGTTTCAGCTACAAGCTACCTTATGTCATAAGCACAGTACTATAAATCAACTGATCTTAACACAGCAATGAGTTACATACGACAGGATTCGAAGAATGCAAATCAATTTATAGTGAGAGAAGCAAATTACCTTGGTGCAAGTCCTGCTATTAACAGAGCTACATTTCTTGCATTTTTTCTGCGACGTAACACCTGAAATACCCTCTGATGGTTTGGAAACCGGGATAGTCGCAGAAACGCATGACTGAGACATTGGAGGAACATGAAGGGTTGAAGTACTGCTAGAAGCAGCAACTTGTGGTGAAGGGAGCTCCGGGTGGTTTAAGCTTATCCCGAATAGCTTGTGCTCAATTTTATTATCATTCTCATCCTTCGATTCAGAAGCCCGCCACCCCTGGGATTCAGAGTCACTGGAATTCACATTTGAGGGTGAAAGGTACCTGGCGACGGGCACATTATTACATGCGCCATAAGTGGTTGGGATTAGGGGCTGTTTGGGGTGACTTGAAATTGAAATGTCATCATCTGGAAATGGTGCTGAGCCACCAAGAGAATGGCAAGGAGGGATTCGCAGTTGAAAGTGCGGTTGATTCTTCGTCCTGTACTGTGAGTCATAGTGTGGGAAGCCTGCATCTTTGTAATCTTGACCTTGTAAGTCCCTTTCACATCTCTGAGATGCATTGTTGGCTGAGTTCAGATCGATGCCTGATAGTGACAGCCAAAAAAAAGACGACAAGAAAACTTAATATACAGAAGAAACATTTTATGAAATTTAACAGGTCACAGAGTACTACGTTATAAACAATGAGACATTATGACTGAATTTGCAGCTATGCAGAACCCAAAAATAGACGGATAGCTACTCACCATCCTTGGTAAAATCGCATAATCCAGACATCGATGGGCCAAGTAAACGTGACCTCTTTGGTTGCGGTAGGTTAACGGTATTCTTCCCGGAAGATTCCAGGGGCTCAATGTTCCAAGGACAAACCATTTCAGGACGCATATCTGTATCAAGCTTGGCATCCCATTTCACCTATGGAGAAATATAAACGTATCTTGAAGAGCTTGCAATTACAAGGAATCAGAAGTGAAAAATTGGAATGGACCGTGCTACCTTGAGACATCTCCATTCTGAACCAGGCCACCTCATGCCATCAATATCGTCAATACCTATTATGGTTCCTGCATATCTGGTTATTCAAACAAACCACAAAATATCTGATGATCACTTATACAGGCATTTACTTATACAAAAGGAAATACTTATAAATTGCTTATCAAGTTCCTTCATAATCACCTCTTTGTAGATTCTTCGGCTTCAAACTGCATTTGTATCCTCATTCCACATGAATATTTCATTTTAGTTGACTTCATGTACTGATCCAGTGGAATAATGAATTCAGAGGGACAAGTCCTGCAGAGTATGCGTCCTTCGACATAAATTTGGAAAACCATGCGCCCAGAAAAACAAGGCTAAGCATGAAATGCGAAAGATGTTGATGCTTAGCCTCTGACATTAATATGGGATGAAAAATCTTGAAGGACTTACCAAGGACGGTAGTAGACAGTAAACATGGATCCTGTAGCAACAGCATAAGAAGCAGTGGCCAATATTCCGAGTTGCATGCTATGGCCAGATATCACGCATGTGGATGGGGATGCTTTATTGTGTTGTTTAAGTGCTCGACGGATCCCAATACCAAGTTCTCCATTTTCTCCGCTGTAGTCATACAAGTAGCATCCTTGTCACTCGCCCTTCGAACATGATCCTCGTGTTTTACTTAAAAATAACCATACGGCTTCTTTATATTTCTCATCAAAATCTGTATTCTCTAGCTATGATGTCATTAAGATTGAGATCCCTCTTTGTAAAAGTTGATATCAATCCTAGTTGTTATAGATTGCCCTCAATTATGCTAGAAAAGCAATAGAAAAACACTGTCATACTTTAAATCTTTAACTGGGTTATTTTCCAACATTAGTTTAACAACAAAAAATATTCTCTGATCTTCACTAATATGCTTTAGAAGAATGTAATAGAAAAAATATAACCAAAGAAAAATGCATGTATCTCGGGGCTCAAGCTTTTTTGAATGCAGGAATGAACTCCAGCCACCCGTAAGCAGGTGTCGTTTCGGCTGACCTGCAATCGATTTTATAAACATCAAGCTCCCAAATAAAGATAGCCCGTATGAATGTATCAAAAATAAAATGATAGCTCGTGTGGCTATCCGAAAGAGAATATTTTTGCAAGAAAAAATGGAAGTGATCCTCAATAACATATTAATATTTCATCATTGATAAATGGAAACGGAAATTTCTGAAGAATCCTTCAACTAGTTGGGCGAACAGACTGCTTCCTATTACTCCTCATTTGAATTGGCACTAGGCAATGTATGGGATGAACTAGAAGTAAGAAGCTCAACAACTACCCTACCATGCATATTAATGCTCATTGAATTACTAGCTTCAAATTATTAAAATTGTCAAACAGTCAATACTCTAGTCTCTAGACCAAGTTCATGGGACAGGCTCGTAATGCTGTTAAGTTTCTGCATTCAACAATTTTACAACATCCGAAGCTATCACACGAGTCTTGTTTAATCTCTGCCATCAACGTAAGCCCGCTAGCTTGTTTGATTTTTAAATAAGGTACAATTTGACAAGTTTTATTGGGGGGGGGGGGGAAGGGATCAAAGTCGAAGTGCTGTCAAAATAAGTCAAAGTATAGCGAGTAGCTTAATTAGAGGCGGCTAAGACGCCCTCTATATCGTCAAGAATTGATGTGAAGCGATAATGGCTCTGTTATTAAACAAAAGAGTTGGACTCAATTTAATTATGGTTATGACCACATTGTTTTAACCAGATCAAGAGAGCGCAACGTAAGATAACTTACCCCGATAGGTATGGCGGAAGTTCCATACCACACCATGCAAGTCCTTCGCAACAAGCTCTTGTCCTGGTGGTTGCTGAGACATATCCTGCGATATTGAAGATACACAAAGAAACGGAATGGTCAATATGGAACCTCGCGTGTTAACAAGCTGGGTACAATGACCAGCCAAAATCAATAGGAACCATTTAGAATTTTACAAAAATGAACGTCATTTGTTGGCAGAAGTAGTTTTATATCCTTGGTGAAAATGGAAACTCCAACAAGCAGGTCAAAAAAGCACAACGGAAAAAAGAGTTCATTCAACAAGTTTGAAAATAACTGAAAAAGAAATAATTTGTCAGACTACGTAATTAATTTAAGGTCAAGGATAATATCTCCAACCAGAGGTGGGAAGCATTCCTCGGCAAGTTTCTTAGGAATGGAGAATCCACCATGTGCACCTGTATCTGATAGGGTGAGCGTCTTACTAAAGCATCTGGAAGTAGTTCTGGGCCTTAGTCGAGACTCTTTATCATCTGAACTAACTTGCTGCAAGTTACGAAAAAAAAGAAAAAATTTATTCATCACAATGGAGGCGGTTAACATCGGATAAACATGACACTATATTGCATCAACATCTGCAGCACGTTAATTTAAATTTCATCCAAAAGACAAGCTGTCAAAAAAGAAAATGGCACGGCTCAAGTGAGGGAAAAAAATACGGTAGAGAAAAGAACAAGGATAGCTGCCAACCTTTGACTCAGGAATTAAGGTAATTTGAGCGAAAACCTCGTCTGTGTTGGCTTCAGCCTGTAGAAACAGTATTATATTTATTCAATTTTTTTTTTTGGTGAATAGTACGGGGCTCTAAGGCCCAATATTATTGAATCCTCACTGATCTTGGGAGAGCAACACCCACCCAATCAGCAAATAACAACCTTCTTACAACCTGGGGAGGACTTTCAAAAATCATCTCCTCCACCCAATATTATTCAATATATTATTATTAGGTAAATAAGTGAAGAACACACATCCCTCAGAAATAATATTTTACCTTTAGTTGAACACCCATGACTCTGCAAAGGATTTTATAAGGCAAATCACTAGCAGGAAGTTCCATGTGACCATCTTGCCGAGTAAAGTCAGCCACCTGTTCCAGATGTCAAGATGAAAATACAGATTTCACTATTTAAGAGATAAACAAACAAGCAATGTATTAAATAGGAGGAACTTCAGCGTTGTAATTAAAAATCTTATTCCAAAAGATTTTAATCATCGTTTAGTTTTTATATAGAAATCCACACAATTCCTTGTCGGGTAAATGAAAATTTCACGAGATACTATTATAAAAATCGCATAGTCACTGTTCCATTAAATGACGAAGTAGAGAATAGTTAATATCGTCAATTAAATTCTCATAACGAGTTCCGTCCCGAGATGCGGCCTTGTCTTGTTTCCATAAATCCGATATGTGACAATCTCGGTTTCTCCCGGAAGTATTTTCTTTGTGAGCAGTTGTTTCGCCTTTCAACTTCGCTCCAATGTTCAGCTAGAAATCTCCACGCAGAATTTACAGAGTAGAATTAAGATAACTAATTGCAGAAAATAGCAGATTGGATGGGGTGGCCCAGAAAATGGCAAAGGAGATAACCTGTTCCAGGTGGCCTTGAGGAAAGTAGTAGACCAAGTCCCCAGTGCGAGGAACAATGACAGAAGCGCCGGCGCATGCTTGCCACAGTGAATCATTCAAAACATCTTTCTCACCTAAAATTATAACGACAATTGAAGAATTAATTAATTAACCAATTAATAGATGAACCAATCATTTCTGGAACGGGAGTCCTGACATTATCAGGGGTTGATTAGACCCTGTTAAAGGATGAAGTAAATTCAAGACATCTGAATGACGACCAATCGTCGTCGCGTCAGAAATGAGAGAAGCAAGAATGTCCCATAGGTTTCTAAACGTAAAACTCGATATAATCAATCAAAACTTCAAAGACAATCCATTCATCCAACGTATCCGCCGTTTGATCAGCAGGTTTCTTCTTTCCTTTACCCACCCACAAAATTAAAAGGAAAAAGAGAGACAAAGAAAGAGCAAAGTCCTAACTCTCATATTGGTTATTGTGATTACCTTCCCGGGAGAGGCCGCCATAGCTAAATGTCGAAGTTCCGTCACCATTTTTTGGGGAGTTATTCGCTGGTGGAGACCCTTTGTTCGCAGCAGCTATACCGTTCATTCTCCTCTGGCGCCTCATGGGAAGTAAATGCGGGGCAATGAAGAAATGGTTAAAGACCCAGAAATTAAGAACAGAAAGTTGCAAAGCGACAAAATAGAGTAATGAGAGGCGTCGGGTATCCAGCACAATCTAAACGTTTCAGTCCATAGCATTCAAGCTTTTCACACTCACGCACCCTGTTTCAGATTCCTCCCCCTCTCTTCCCCCAACGAGCCTCATCACCATTACCACGCCAGCCGGGGGGCCCTCTTCTCACTCTCTTCGTATTGCGTGATGCTGTTACTGTCGCAGTAACGCCTGTAACTCTGTACGTGCGCAATACAGTACGCGATAGCCAGGCAAGAGCTAGGGGGGAGAGAGAGAGAGAGGGTGGGGTGAGTTTGGCTTGCGTTAGTACTCCTGGTGCAGACTGGTTTGCTTTATTTTCTTGCGCTGAACGAGTCGCTGTGCAGCTTCTCAGATGTCTACAGTAACCGTACTTCCTTCATGCCTGCTAAAGCCACCACAAAGTCTCTCTCTCTCTCTCTCTCTCGTCTTGAATGATGCTGGTGGCGATGTTTGCTAATTTGCGCCGATATGAACGAAGCGCCTTATCGCCTGCATGCTCATGCACCGGCGATTCTTCTCTCTCTCTCCCTCTGTCTCTGTGACTCCGCCACTTCGTCTGATTCTGCTTCCTTAGTGCGCAGCCTATGTTCGTTAGACTGTCCTCACTCTTAACGGCCTCGGGCGATCCATCAATGGCCGCCGTTGATTCCAATGAATTCGTGCCTCACTTTGATTTTTGCCACATTAATTAATAATTAATAGGAAAAATTAATTGAAAATAGTAATATTTTAATTTAGGCACTTAGGATTTCAAAATCCTACTGAAAGTGGAATCTGATTTAGTATTTTGCAGACGCAGTTAAATAATTAAAATATCTTCTATATTAAATTAAAAAAAAATTATAAATTTGTTATTGTCAGTCCATTTTTTATTATTAGCTGTTTAGTATTTATTATTATCAATTTACAACTTGTTAATAAATAACTTGTCATTGTCAATATATTTTTTTGATTTAATATTCAACACTTATCATTATCAATTTACAACTTGTTAATAAACTTTTTGATATAAGGACATTTTTATCATTTAACTATATTTGCAAAATACCCGGACATCACTTTCTTTCTTAGGATTTTGAAGTCTTAAGTGTCTGAATTAGAATATTACAATTTTTAACTTCTTTTTATGTCATTTTTTCTAATTAATACTTCATTCAATTCAAAATACTTAAAATATAAGCATCAAATAACTCATTTATATATTTTAAAAAATTGGTTAAAAACAATAAATATATGAAAAATGTAACTTATTTTTTTTTAAATACTTTTATTTAAGAATAGAGTGTGTGGGAGAGAATGAGGGAAAAAAAGAGTGAGGAAAAAGGTATCAGAGAGACATATAATTAATTCAAGATAAAAATAAAAAAATATAATTTTCTGGTGTTAAATATAAGACATATTTTATAATGTAAATTACATTATAAAATATGTCTTATATTTAGAATCGGAGAAAGTATTAAATTATCCAACAAATCTATTTCAAAGATTTGATGTTTATATTTTGAATCGGAGGAGTAAATAATAACTGGACTTGTCACCAAAAACAAATCTAATTAATTGACGTCACAGACACTCATATTGTATGTTGAGTTTTAATTTATTGTTTACAAGAGAAATTATTTAATAATTTTTATGCCTTTAAATCTACATTATTATTATTTAATTAAAATATGAACAGCCATCAAACCATGATGCCTTTGTTTTTTTTTTGTGAAATGCGCACTTAAAGTATTTTCATTAAAAACCTGATAAATTATAAATTGACTGAATTTACCATGATATCATGTGAAAAATATGTGCACGCATGAATAGAAATGATACGATAGGTACTGAATTATGGGGAGAAAAAACACAAAGTTAGACACATACATTAACGGGTATTTTATGTTTTCTGTTTTGTCCCCAATAGAAATGTGCAATTGGGCTAACGATTATTTCTTTCCATTGAAAAATGGGCAATAAACACCACTAAAAGTCTGCGATATTTTTAATATTTGATAACAAAAGATATTCTTATTTTTTACTTATATTTGATCACAGATAAAGTAGCCCCCTTGAAATAACTTTGAAAAGTATGTTTTACCTTTAGATCAATAGATCCCTCAGCTTATAAAAAGAGACTTTAAAGAGAGAACATGCCGGTTCATACCCTTTTTTTTTTCTATCGCTATATAAAATAGAATAACATATATTTTTTCTTTTTTCCCCCCTTTAGTATTATCTTCCCTTAATTTTAAAAACATTAAGGATAATAAATGGTAAAGCAGGGTGTTTGGCATCTCTTAATAATTTACTTTTATATTTTACAGAATATTTTTACAATATAAAAGGTTTTTTTCCCCCCAAATATGTTCCAGTGTTATTGTTAGGTTCTGCTCGATGATTCTGGTTCAGTCAATACCCGGCGGATTTGGCCTCTCCGTACATGTACCAAGTCGCACGAGTCACTGCCCTGGATCGATCGAGCGCCGGTGCTTCGCGCCCTGTTGCCATTTGCAAACAAATTGCACGCTTAAAAACGGTACAGCTTCGTATTGTGGATATTATATTTTAAGCTGTTTTATTTTAAGTTAGGAACAAATATTTTAAAAAAAAATACTATCTCTGCTTTTTAATATAAGAATTAATTGGCTGATTTGAGTAGATTAAAAAAACTAGTTAAGTTAGTTATCTGTAATAAATAGGTTTTGTCTTTTCTAAAATATTATTGCTAATCAAGTGTACTGGCTAAAAATACTATTATTACAAGAACTATCTTTGAAAAAAATAAATAAATATGAGAGATAATATAATTTGGATCTTATATTTAGAACTAAAATCAAAATCAAATAAATTCTTATATTAAGAATCAGAGACAGTATATTTAAAGGGTTAAGACACAAATTTATCTGTGAAAATTTTCACTCATGAGTGATGGGATCTTACAAATATTTTTGAGTGCTAATTTGTTTTACAAGTTTAAAATCGTAATAATATAGCTTAATGTTACAAAACTAACATTGATCATTAAAATAATGATGTCGATTGTTAATATTTCCAATCATAAGGACAACATTGTTACAATTTCAAATTTTTTGAAGTAAATTTACACTCACAGAGTTCTCTAAATGTATAGCTAATGAGTGAAAACTTTGTAGATAACCTTATTTAAAATTAATATTAGAGCTTGGCTTGGTGTTGACTATTGTGTCACATGTCACCCCGATGTAGCATCTGAGAGGATGCAGAGAAGACACGTTGAATGAATTGAAAACTCGCGAATTTACAATTACAGATAACAATAATATTTGAATAAAAAACGACAAAATTATTTTAATGCAATCGCCACAGGGCTAGTTACCAGGAACTATTTTGATACTTATAAAAACCCATCAAATCCAAATCATTCATATCAGATTTAATTTTTTTTATTTTTTTTATTCAAAATAATTATTTTAATATGTATATAATCTAAAATAAGAATAATCTCTTAACTTTCATTTTTTTAAAAAATAATTTTTTCTATTTAAAAGTAACTAATTAAATATGTTAAATTTAAACCATTCAAATGAGATATAGATGGTTCAGATCTGATGAGTTTAAGGTACTCATCAAAATAATAAGCACTAAAATTGGTTCCCTAGTTATGATTTATGAATCATATAAGCCCTTGTATATAAATCGAATGATTAAGAGCAATTACAAAAAATGAAATATTGATTAATTGGGAATTAATTGTAAATTAAGGAATATTCATGTATCTTGACTATAAATCTTATAAAGTCGCCTGTAAAAATCAGAAATGTATATAAATTGTGAAAGCTCACTTCCAATTTTTACAACTGAACTTTCGGAATTTATAATTACACTTCTGTAATTTAAAAAATTTCATCACCCACAGTTTACTTGCAAATTGCAACTAATCTTCTCGTTTCTACTAATGAGGAGTTGATTTTCTTTGCCGACTAATGAGTTATTGATTTACAAGAAGCTTCAAACATTTATGATTGAACAGTACATTTATTGCCTAAGAACATTTTAGATCGTTTACTTTTAAGTTTTCGAATCTGTTTCGGAAGAGGGGTTGCAATCCCAAGGATGCTTTTGCATCTTGCCATAGGCAAAACGCAAGGGGAACAAAGCTTTAATGCCATTATTTCTGCAGTTCTACTCTTTTAATGTCATTTTTTTTCATAATTTTATTGTCTCGTTTCTCTCTTTTCACTTTTTAAGACGTACTGTTCTGGTACTATTTATAAAACAGAGAGAAATTTTTTTATTTATTTATAAGTTACTTTATTAAATTTTCAGCATGAATGTACTATTTTGTCATTTATTTATTGTAGTGTGAGTAGTTTTTTTTTAAAACGTGTATATATTAAATATGGGTAAAGTTAAAAAATTGTTATATTTTAATAAAGATTTAATATATTTTAAGGTTTTTTTTAATTTGTATAAAATATGTTGAAAGTATCTTATAAATAAAACTGGATGAGTATGATATAAAATGATTGTTTTGTATTCATTCAATTGTCCTCTGTTTTGCACTTATTTTGACCTATCTTCAACTTCTGGTAGCTGGACAAATTTTGACTGTCATCTTGAGCTCTTATCAGACCAATTTGATTGTTACATTAAATCCTGGCAAGATAAATGATAACATAATAATGAGGGGGGAAAAAAAAACAGATGAGATGAGACCGAGAGGTTCGGTGGGAGCCACCCACTCTCTTAACTACTGTTACAGAGATTTAGTGTCTGTTTAAAAACTCTATAATTGCTTTAAAAAAATGTCCTTCTCGAGGCTAATTAGCTTATTTTAATTAAGTGACTTAATAACTCTCCATGTATAAAATTTGTTTTAAAATGAATTAGTCGTTTGTTGGTTGGGTTAAATTAGCTTGTTCACATCGATTAAATACCTTATTGCCATCAATTTATATTTTCTGACAACATAAATTAAAAAGTAAGAGTCGGAAAAGCATGTGAAAAAAAAAAAAGATAATAGAGCCAATATGACCCATAATTAAATTTAAAGTCGTAACTCATAACATCTCGTCCCTTTTTTTTTTTTTAATGGAATTCACAGATAACTGGTCCATTATTATATATCTTTGCGGTTTCTTTCAAATCAGCTAAAGTGATTTTATTGTATTTAACGCACAACGCATGGGGTGGCCTTTTGGGGTTTGATTCACGCCACTTTTGTTATGCTTTTTGTGTCTGCTTTTCCTTTTCAATCACCTTCTTCCAACCCCCCCCCCCCCCCCAAAAAAAAAACTCCCTCCTTAACATGCCTCCAATCCCTCCTTCACGCTCTTCTCGTGACATCGCCTATCTCCCTCCCTCCCTCTCCTGTGTGTGTCCACAGCAGAATCATCAAACGGATTAGTTATTTTTTTTTCTCCCGTTGGGGGGGGGGAGGGGGGATATTCTAACAACATTGCATTCAAATTTAAGCTGTTAAGAAGTATAGTTTGATAATCATTCTATTGTCAAACACACTTAAGAGCCCTGCCAACGGATACTTCGTAGGCTTGTTTTGGATTAAGAGCCCCAAAACTCAGCTGTAACGTGGTCTCCTTGGTCAAGACAGAGACATCATCTTGAGAAGCGACTCGTCAGAGGTTGTGGCTCTTATCTCAGGTAGCGATAACGGTGCGCGTGCGGATTGGTTGGTGATACAGGAAATTAAAAGCATGCTCGCATGGGAATGTGAGGTTGAACATCAGGTTATTAGCAGAGAAGAGAACTATATGGCTGATGCACTTGCTAAGTTCGCTTTGAATGGAGCTAGAGGCCTTCAGATCCTGAGTCCTAGTTCGGTGACAACTGACAAGGATGATAACGTTTGTTATTGTTAGTTAGTTGTTGTTCTTCCAATTTATATATATATATAAAAATTAATAAAAGTGACTTTTATCTTGATTAATTTTTTGCATATTGGAATTGGGGTAAAAATTAATTAATATCATGTCATTTATGTTCAGATTACTCATCAACAAGATTCTCATATTGACAGTTGGATTTAAACTCACAACTTTATAAATTATGAGTTAACCTTTTAATTATCAACTGAGTTAACTTTTAATTTGTTAGCAAAGTAAAAAAAAAGAAGTTGTTTTAACTTTAAAATGACTTTTGGCCAAAAATCTGTTACTCCTAAAATCACACGAAATAATTATTTTCGTCTAACTACTTCTTCCCCCCCCCCAAAAACAAGAGGGGGGGGGAGTGCAGGCATATTTAAGTCAATAAATTAGAGAGCTACACAAGGAATTTGATAACTTGCATGATCTGCTTGATCCTTCTACCTGAGGTATAGATGTTCCTTCTAAATCTCAAGATCCAACACATTTTTAAAATTCATGATATTCCTCCCACATCCTTTTTTTTGTTACTATTAGAGGTAATTTTATTCGAGATACTATTAGGTACTAAATGTGAACACCTATTCCAGCAATGATTCAAACATTAGTTCTTTAAATTGTAAGGGACTAGCCCCTTCCACTAAACTTAACTCCTGTTGATATTCCTCCCACATCCTGTCTCAATTGTAAATAATTTTTTTTTCAATTTAACTTTTTTTTTAATCCACACAAACTTAAATTTGCAGGCTTTTGTTTCTGTTGGGCGGGGTATACTGTAGATTTAGTCTGGATTTTACCGGATCACAAATTGCTTTAGCTTTCAGAGTAGAAGTCAAACAGATTAAGAATCTATTTAGAATAACTTATAAGTAGCTTTTTAATCGTGATTTACAGAATACGAGATAAATATGTGAGAAGAATTTTGTCTCGGTTTACATATAGTATGCTTATAAATGATTTCAATCCTGATAATATACAGGGCATAAAGATCTTTTGCCTTTTGTATCGAAAGTTCTTTTTCCCTTTTCTTTTGGGCCAGCATTAAATCTCTCTGTCCTACATACACAAAGTCGTAAGCAAAATATAGTTACGACTTTTATCCCAAAAAAAAAAAGTTATGCCTTTTAAATGGTATATTTTATTACAAGTTGAAAAACTTATTACTCATATTGATGACCCAGTGCTGTGCAAAATGAAAAGGGCTCGGAGCATGCAAATTCGTTAAGAGCCATGCGATGACTAAAAAAATATAATTATTAATATGCTGACTTTTTTTAATCTTTTTAACATGCCTTCATTTTATTATAAGTAAGTAATGTTCTCTTAAAATTTAAAAATGAAAGATAGATAAAAATAAGATTATTCCTTAGAAGCACTGTTAAAAAGTATGAAATTAGTAAATGTAAAGGATCATAAAGCATTGTATTACTATTTTTTTAATAAACATTGAAATTACATTAAAACCAAAATAAAGAAGTATTTTCTCTGATTTTTAATATAAAAACTAGTTTGACATCTAGTTTGATCCTAAATATAAGATTTTAACCCATTCTGTCTTTAAAATTTATCTATTTTTTCAAGTTAGTCCTCGTAGAAACCGTAGATATTAAATGTTTCATCACATGGTGGTTATAGCTAATATACATAATTAATAAAGATATTTGAGAGAAGACAGCACACATTTATTACAAATAATAAATTTAATTAAATTTTTTAATTTATTTAAATCATTTAACTAGCTCTTATATTAAATACATGAAGTAATACATTAAAAAAAAATTACACGCATAATGTGCAAAATTGGGCCGCTGGCACAAGAAAAGATGGATATGCAAGATTGGGTAGTTTTCTTCCCTGCTTATGAAAAAGGTCTGTACCCAAAAAAAAAAAAAGGTAATACTCCTCCAGTCCTTAATATAAGACCTAATTATTGAGTTGGTTTTGGTCCTAAATATAGGACCCACTTCTCATATTTATCAATTTTCTCTAAATTACCCCTATGGATACTCTCTTAACCATAATCAAGTAGAAGAGGGAGAGGAGGTATTAAGAAAGATAATTACGGTATTTTAGGAAAAACATGTTACATTTTTTATAATTAACTAACTTACCTAACTTCCTTAATCTAATCAAATTAGTTAAATGAGTTTTATATTAAAGACCGGAGGAGTACCATTGATGAGTTGCATTTAATTGTGGAAAATCTCTCCGGCGCTAAGTAATCGCACAAGCCGAAAAAAAAAGGGGTAAAATTTGAGTTTTTTTTTTGGCACCGAAAAATTGAGCATTCATCATCAGTTTTTTTTTTTTTTATAATAGTGACATGTCAAAAATGAATTATGTGATTAGTAATAAACATAAGGACAATACCTATATAAGTTTGTTATATTCATTATATCAAGTTCTCTAATTACATATGACCATATATTTTATTTAAAATATTAAAATTTAATGATAATTAATTATAAATTCATGTGAAAGGAAAAAAGATATATAATTATAAGTGACTGAAGAATTTAACATAATAAATACTCCTCTGGTCCTAAATATAAGACCTTTATACACACTTGTATAAGGGTCTTACATTTAGGATTGGAGGAGTATAAGAAAATTTACCTAATTTTTTTTTGGTACACATAATCATCCGATAAACTGCCTGAGTATACTTCGGTCAAAGGAAAAGCAGGCATGTATATGTGGATGTAGCATAGATTTTCTGAAAATATACGTATTTTTTTTCAATTAACGTTGTGCCTTTTTCTGTCTACTTTAACAGTGTGATTGGTCAAAAGAACAAGGAGGCGCCAAAATTGGAGGCCCAATCCAGTACAGCGATAAGCTGATAACCATGCTGGCAGGAAGCAGAGGATAAGGAAAAAGAAGAAAGCAAAGCATGCTTTGAAAATTCACTTCGACACCAACACTCTCAACTTGCTTCTTCTCCTTCTTCTCCGGCCCCCTTGAAATGGCCGTTGCTGTATCGAGCTTATTCTCCGTGCTATCCTCCACCGTTAAGTTCAGCTGCTCCATTTCCTCCCAGTCTTGCTTCCCCTCCTCTCACGCACCCGTCACTTCCCGCGCCTTTGTACTCGGTCACAAGCGCAGAGATTCAAATTCGGAAGGAGCCTCCTCCTCACCTAAATCCAACACTCAAGTAAACCCCAGTTTATTTATTACTGCATTGATTCCTTCAATTTTGTTTTTCATCATTCTTTATAGTAAATTCACGCTTTCACAGTACGATCTTTGTCCACAAATGTTGCACATTCTCATGCGGTTGCTTAAGTTGAGCTTAGATGAAGATAAAACGAAGTTGAGGATTATTGGAGACACAGCAATGAGTTCTAGCACTTGAATATATGTTTCCCTTATCTATAATGAAAACGCACGTGTTATTCCATCTCAACAATCTTAAGTTTGTCATTCCTGATAGAAGCTTTTGCGCAGAAGAAGCATCCAGGGCGATCAAAAGATGAAAGGCTTGCTCTATATGCTGATGGAGGCAGTGGTAGAAGGGATATGGTGGGACTCCAACCAATTGCTCATAAACCATTTGGCATGCCAAGGAAAGATAAGGAGTTTCTGATTGATTCAAAGGAGCAGCTGGTACTAATATCTGTGAGGAATCTTGAATAGATTTTCCCTCTTTGACGTTTTAAGACAATTTTATTTTAATTTCAGGTTGAACCAAGCAGTATACAAGATGGAGATTTCCTTAACGCCGTTGTGAAGGTAAAGATTTCACTCTTTTACTGTTTTTCACTTAATACTAACTCTTTTTAAGGAAATCAAATAATCAAATTTCAAAGTTCCAACTCAAATATGGTGTTTGCACTTTTTTTTTTTTTTTCCCCTCCTTTCCCCAACTTTGTCAATTTTCATGTTTGGGCTGTTTCAACTTGGGACTTTTCATGCAGTCATCAGTTCGTCAAGTGGATTTAAATTCAATTTTTTTACTTCCATTTATATAGATTGTCAATAATTTCATTAAATAAAATATAATTAATGTTGTTAGCAGTTTATGGTGCCTTAAATCACTTTTCCTGGAATTGTAATTCAGCGGTCATCATCTTGATTTGTTATGTTATGCAGTGTTATTATTCCAATTGCTTTTTGTATGTAACTTCTCAAAGATAAAATCTTTCTTTTCGTAACATTTTAAGGTTTACTGCACCCATACCGCGCCAGATTATTCACTTCCTTGGCAAAAACAGAGACAATACACAAGTACTGGAAGGTAAATATTTGTAATCAACATATATGAAGGATCTGTTTCTCTTAATCTTACGGGCTACATCTTGTGCAGTGCATTCATGATTGAGGGTAGGAAACTTCTGACCAATGCACACTGTGTGGAGCATGATACCCAGGTAAATTTCTTGAGTACTTAATCTTTATCAGATCTAGTGACAGAAGTTTCACCACTAAGCTTTGTGTTAACTTCTAGAAATTGGTAGCCAAATAAGCCATGTTCATGAGATAGTTCATCAAAAAGTGGAAATGTGAGAGAAATTTGCCCCTAGTACATACTGAATGAAAAGAGAAGTTATAGAAGGTTATTTCGTAGATCTTATGATTGTCTTAATAACTGGCTATGCGATCTAGGAATGTAAGCCTGGAACTGCCAACTTCGGCTTGTTTATGACTATTGCAAATTTGAAACTCTGCTATAAAGTCATCCAGTTACTAAAATTATATACTGCTCTTCTTTCACCATTTCTGTATTCTAACATTCCAATTATTCTTAGTATATGATGCATATAACAAACTATGATAATCATGTTGTCTTCAATTTTTGGGGTGATTGCAGGTAAAAGTTAAGAGAAGAGGCGATGATACAAAATATGTGGCTAAGGTATTGCTCCTATTAAACGGTTGTTCCTTGGTCCCCCCTCATATGATGCTCCTGTCAGTTTTTGAGTGTTAAGAACAGCTTGCTTTAACATGGCTTGCTGCAGTTTTACTATGTCGGAATTGCATTTTCTCTATTATCTAGGGACATGGATATTTGGCACATGTTCATGTAGTCATGTTCAATGCAATATGTGCAGGTTCTGGCGAGAGGTATTGACTGTGATATAGCACTGCTTACAGTAGAAAGTGAGGACTTTTGGAGAGAAGTAGAACCTCTCAGATTTGGACGTTTGCCACATCTTCAGGTTTGGAATATATCTTTTCATTTTTGGAGGCCTTCATTGATTGTCTTGTTGTGAATGCTTTTTATTTCCTTTCTTGTGTCCTTCTTCAATGTAATCTCTCCTGAAGAGATGAGTGACTAATTTACTAATGAAATTGAAGTCAATTGAGTTACTGGTATTTCAGCACTCTCGGAGAGTTTCAGGTGTCTTGTTGGACCTAGGTTGAAACTTAACTTTATTGTGAAGTTTTAGGTAAATGATGATAGTCCTAACTTTATCATTAGATATTTAATGCTTAAAATCTGTTAGAAGTACTTAGAAATTTGACAAATAACATCCAGTGTATGAATTTAGAAACTATACTGACGGTCTCCTACATAATGATCCATTTATATTAAGCAGATGCAGCATGAAAAGGGAAGTTGAACCATATTCCCATTTTCCACCCTCTCTACCACATCTGTTGACAAGATAACTATTTGATTTCTTCACTACCCATGCCAACTATGTCAAGGGAACACCTGGAAAAGAGTGGATAGATGCTTGTGCAATAAAATAATATTTTATGCTAACCTGAAAGATAATTCTTAATTAAATCATTTGATTTCAATGATAATGTGTTTGAAGAAGTAGTAGAGATTGAAAGAGATTAGGTGTTTCTGCTCCGATAAGGAATAAGGAATAAACAATTGAGGCAAAATTCTTTTTGCTCTTTATGGGACAATCTTCAGCAACAGGGACCTAATAAAGTTTTGGTTCGAGAGAAAGAGCTTCATTGCTATCTTCAAACCCACTAATTTTTTCGGCCCTTAGTTTCCATCAATGTTGAATTTGGATTTAGGGTTCTATAGTCGATGGTTGAAAGATTTTATTGATTACAAATTTTCCATTCTTGTAGGATGCTGTAACTGTTGTGGGATACCCCCTTGGAGGAGACACAATTTCAGTGACAAAGGGAGTTGTATCTCGTATAGAGGTTTGGTAACCTGAATGTGACCATTCAAACCTCTTAATTAGATCAGTTGCGATATCAGATCAGTCCTTGACGTACTAGGACCTTACTAAGTTCTTACTGCCAAGTTATTTGTAAAATTTAATAGGTCACATCATATGCTCATGGATCATCTGACTTATTGGGGATACAAATTGATGCAGCAATAAATCCTGGTCAGTAGAGCTTACACTTTAGTTTCACTCCACCCTCAGGGTTAATATTTCTCTGATGATTTCTTTCCTATCTAAATCATGATGCCCATTGATGATACTGATAAATTTTAGGTAATAGTGGTGGTCCGGCCTTCAATGACCAAGGGGAGTGCATTGGTGTTGCATTTCAGGTAGTTATATGGCCTACTTTCAGTTGATATGTCAGTGGTTACGTGGCTTGAAAATTTCTGTGAGAAGTAGCTTTCCTGGGCAAGTTATTAGAATTCCATTTTGGGAGAATAACAACCCTAGTTGTGTAATGGAAAACTAGATAATACTGCATAATTCTGATCCTACTTTTTTTTAGCTTTTGCTATTTAATTAGTAGCTCACATATGCTGCCTGCTCTTTCTTTTTTCATTTACTAATGGGATTCTGTCTCTAGGTCTACAGATCTGAAGAGGCCGAGAATATTGGATATGTGATACCAACCACTGTTGTTTCTCATTTTCTGGATGACTATGAGAGGAATGGGAAGTACACTGGTAAGAGGCCCTTATTAAATCTGCTAATATTTGGTAGCTTTAAAGTGTCCCAATGTTTCTGGAGTCACTGCGTCAAATTGCATGGTTAATTTATTGTTATATGAAACCAATTGTTATTTTGTATTACTCTAAGAACATTTTCCCCCTATTTCCGACACCAAGTGGCAGCTACTTAGCTTAAGACTTCTGCATTCACAATTGTACCATTCTTTGATATCAAGTTTGCAGGAGTTCTTGGCAATCCTCTTGACAGGCTCAAAATATTTCACGTATTTTCTTCTATTTTATGTCCATACATTAATCTCTTAGTATCTATGCACAAAACAGGAACTACAGTTATTCTTAATTGGGAGTCACAATCTGTTTCCTTGTTGTTTTATATTCGTGTCCTATGATGTCTATAGCATCGTTTAGCTTCAGGATTGCATGTTCAAAATTAGTTTACAATCACTCTTTTTCAGTAATTATTTTCATCTGTTACATCCATTGTGATTCTAACATATAAATCAAACATAACATGCATATGTGTTGTTGCTGTTCTTGTCTGGATTTGTGTTTTTACTGTCAGGTTTCCCTTGCCTTGGTGTACTTTTACAGAAGTTAGAGAATCCTGCTCTAAGAGCATGCCTGAAAGTACAATCTAATGAGGTTGGTCTATATACAATTTTAAGAGGGTCGAAAGCAGCTTGCATACTAGCATTATAGCCACATTCTTGACATCACATGATCACATCTGATATTTTTCTTAGATTAACTCATAAATACCATGTTCTTCTTAAATATCACCTAATCTTGGTTGGTTGTGCATAAATTTTATATTATGGGCCTTGTCATGAGAATAAAATGTTATCCACTTCCATAAGAATGTGAATATGGTGGCTTTGTGTGTTTGAAGAGCAGGAAATGGAAGGAATTGACCATGGAAGGAAAAGTATTGGAAAACTGCCAGGTGTATGGTGAAGATAGAGAGTAGAAAAATAGAGAGTTTTGAAGATGGGATGCTATAAGCTTTAAACAATTGGAATTGGGACACAAGGATATTAATTCCTATTATATGGCTCATTCATCTATGGTTTGGAAAATATTACTTATTGTCTAGATGGACATACCGGAAACATTATTGTCTTCACTATTAATGTTCAATGATTGATGATTGAATTCCACTGATTTAATGCAGTAGTTATTTGTATTCCCCTCCATATAAATTGCCCATAGTCGATAATGTAATATATCACGTGTTGACATTTTTGATCGCATGGCTGCATATGGTTGAAAAGCAAATGTTTGTGTCAATGGTATTTCTGATTTTGTAATATGATGGAATATAAAAGCATAATTATGTTGCCCTCGTAAAGAGCTAATTATATGTTGTTTATGTGATACAGGGTGTCTTGGTACGCAGAGTTGAACCAACTACTGATGCTAACAATGTGTTAAAGGAGGTATATTGGACAATTTTGGCTTCCAAAAATATGGTCTCTTGAATGGTAACTGAATTGAGAGTCAAACAAAAAGCTTTTAAGAAACGTGGGATTCTATAGGATTTGAACTGTTTGTCAGAAATTCTGTTCCATGAGGGATGTCAATTTTCAATAGCTGCTAGAGTGACCTCTGTACCATCCTTGCTGAATAGTCTGTCAACTTATTTATTTTGAGATCTTTTTCGGATTCTTTTTTTTTCAAAGGAAAAGGGCTGGAGGTATGGCATGCCTGTGGACCCAAACTTGTGGCTACTTCAAACCCTTTGAAATGTGCGTTAACATTTTAAATAAAATCTTCTGTTTCAGGGTGATGTCATTTTCAGCTTTGATGATGTTCATGTTGGTTGTGAAGGAACAATTCCATTCAGATCAAATGAACGAATTGCATTCAGATTCCTCATTAGTCAAAAGTATGGTCTTCCTTTTTTCTGAATTACTTGAGATCCAGTGTACAGTTTATCACTACTTTTCACTTACTATAAATATTGCAAAATATTTTTGTGAACTTTGACCTTTAATTACATGTTTACCTCACTTAAATTGCTGTAAGTTGGTAATTTATCTGCAAGATCATGTTTCTGTGGGGGTACAAGTGTTTTGTTTTGTGGCTTCTCAAATTTAATGTTGTTTTACAGATTTGCAGGGGACACTGCAGAGCTAGGCATCATTAGAGGGGGAAAACCAATGAAGGCCAAAGTAGTTTTAAACCCACGAGTTCATTTGGTATGTTGTAGTAATCCAGCATTAATCAATATCGCTATTCCATGATGTGGAGTTCTTTCTTTTCCTAATTCTTATTTCTCTTTTCAAGGTTCCCTATCACATTGATGGAGGTCAGCCTTCCTATCTAATAATTGCCGGTTTAGTGTTCACACCCCTCTCAGAGCCATTGATAGAGTATGTTGTCTGACTCGTTTCTGTTCTTCACATTGGGCAATTTTTCTTCACTTTTCCCTCCTGAGGGTGCACGTCTAATTGAACGTTAATTATTGATCTTTTGGCAGAGAGGAATGTGAAGACTCCATAGGGGTAAGTTCAGATTTATTAGCACCTGAAAGTTGTTAATGTGATGCAATTAGTCTGTTGAGTTTTATTTTCCTTTCCCCCCTGGCCAGCTGAAGCTATTGACGAAGGCACGCTATTCTCTAGCAAGGTTCAAAGGGGAACAGATAGTAATCCTTTCCCAGGTTGGTTGCTGGAATTCTTCCTTGACAATATTTTATATGATGTTTAGTTGTATTGCTAAAAGTGTAGCATAGCATGTGGCACTGAGTTGTACGGTATGATTTTGCTTCACTCCTCTTTTTGATTGACAGGTCTTGGCGAACGAAGTCAACATAGGTTACGAAGATATGAGCAATCAGCAGGCAAGTCATTTATATGCGTGAGAATAACTGCTGCTAGTTTAGATATGTGATTGCATTGCATAGATGTATGTTCTCTGAAAAAAAAAGTAGGAGGTTTTGAAATTCCATTGCCCGCTGGACTTGAATTAAAAATATCCCTCACCTAGCATACTTCAGTGATTGTATTGTACTACCTTCAGTTCTTACTATAAAACTAGTTTAACATTTAATTTGATTCTAAATATAAGACCCCAGTTCACTTTATCTTTCATATTTATTCATATTTTCGAAAGTAGTCTTTGTAGGAGTTGCACAAGTTAAATATTTCATAGTTCTAACTAATATACATGATTAGTAGGGGTATTTTATAGAAGATAATGCCTATTTATTACAAATATGAAGTTAATGAACTTTCTTAATCTACTCAAATTAATCAATCAGCTTTTATATTAAGTACCGGACGTAATATTGTTTTAGACATAGACATATTTTCTCACAAAGAAAAGTTGCAGGTCTTGAGATTCAACGGGACTCGAATAAGAAACATCCATCACCTTGCTCATCTTGTTGATTGACAGGTCTTGGCGAACGAAGTCAACATAGGTTACGAAGATATGAGCAATCAGCAGGCAAGTCATTTATATGCGTGAGAATAACTGCTGCTAGTTTAGATATGTGATTGCATTGCATAGATGTATGTTCTCTGAAAAAAAAAAGTAGGAGGTTTGAAATTCCATTGCCCGCTGGACTTGAATTAAAAATATCCCTCACCTAGCATACTTCAGTGATTGTATTGTACTACCTTCAGTTCTTACTATAAAAACTAGTTTAACATTTAATTTGATTCTAAATATAAGACCCCAGTTCACTTTATCTTTCATATTTATTCATATTTTCGAAAGTAGTCTTTGTAGGAGTTGCACAAGTTAAATATTTCATAGTTCTAACTAATATACATGATTAGTAGGGGTATTTTATAGAAGATAATGCCTATTTATTACAAATAATGAAGTTAATGAACTTTCTTAATCTACTCAAATTAATCAATCAGCTTTTATATTAAGTACCGGACGTAATATTGTTTTAGACATATTTTCTCACAAAGAAAAGTTGCAGGTCTTGAGATTCAACGGGACTCGAATAAGAAACATCCATCACCTTGCTCATCTTGTTGATTGTAAGTTGTAACATCCTCTATCTATCATCCTCTGTTGCTTATTTAAGAAGCATCGCGTTCAAATTGTTCTTTCTGCTTGTGATCAGCTTGCAAAAACAAATATCTATGTTTCGAGTTTGAAGATAACTATATTGCTGTTTTGGAGAGGGAAGAAGCTGCAGCTGCTTCATCCTGCATACTGAGAGATTATGGAATCCCATCTGAAAGATCTTCTGATCTTTTGAATCCATATGTGGATTCATTGGGAGATGATCAACCACTAGACTGGGACTTGGGTGATAGTCCAGTTTCAAACTTTGAAATTGACTTTGATGGACTGCTCTGGGCGTAAATTCTCACTTTTGTGGTTGGAATATGAAATTCCTCGCGCATTAGCAGCAGTGCTGGAAAACACATTTCGGGCCCCCATGATGCGCTGCAACAGTACCGGCGCAGCTAACCTTGGTGGCAACGGGTGGAAATTGATCAATCTAGATTCTTACTAGGGGGATGCTAGAGGGGATAATTTTTTTCCTCCTTTTCTGTTCTCGCTCCAAAGTCTAAATTACATGCTTTTCTTTTTTTATGAATGGGGTGAGAAATGGGTTTTTGTCGTCATGTTATTTATTATTTATTTTACATATTTTCCCTTCTTTCTTTTGCTCACTCCTGCAATTGATTACAATTTTGCATGTATACTCAGTATTGTTTTAGGGAAAAAGTTGTGTACGCAAGAGGGGTTCTTTGATAAGCCTGGAGGGCATTGATGTAATACATAATAATTTCATCCTTTGTAGTTCCTGTTTCTCAGACATTGAAGTTTTTGTCAAAAGTCCATGAATCTGCATATTTAGGGCCCATTCCAAGATTAAGGTATTCTAATATCATAATCTAACCTTTTGCTCTATGACACAACTGAGCTAATATGGTTAGCTATATTTTCAGCATCTGCGGAAGCTCCATAGAAGCCTCTTCTTGATAATCCAACGCAATACAAGCCATTCTTTCCCTTCCAATGGTTGGGGTAATCAAGCTTGGGAATCCCATCATCATTTAAGAGATAATCGGCCCCCTATCAAACAAGCCGCGTGATTATCGGGTTCTTTATGAGTATAATATTGTAACGCAAAGATTAACAAGTCGTAAAACGCAAAGGTGAATCAGTTGGGTTGAATTGAATCCCATACCTTTAACCACTTGTGCGTTGATCTTTTGAAGCCAGTGCAGAAAACGATGGAGTCAAATGGTTGCGACCTGCCATTCCTGAACACGACGTCGTTGCCCTCCACGCTTTCTATTTCTTCTTGAACCACCTGCGTTCTCTAGTCAAATTCACTTTACGTTTCGAGCATGGAAGCAAAAGTGCAGAATCATTCGAGAAAAAACCCTTAATAATACTAAAAAGAATATAAAATCTACAGGTTGAATTATATCTATATTTTTTTAAAAAAAAAAGGGGCACTGTTTATGTTCCCAAGTGTCTACGCGAGAGTTTCTAAATTGAAGAATTCTTCCGTAATATGAATTCATGTCTTTAAAATATCATTTTCTCTTGAAGAATATATATCAGCATGCTGCCTGCAAATGTAGGCGAGCTAACAGACTAGAGGACTGTTCCTAATTGAATAACAATTAAGAAGGTGAAATAGATGCAGGCCATGATTGGCTTGCCTGTATCTCCCCAGATTTGATCTTCTGGTAGGTTCCAACATCAAGGACTGGATACTTGCCATACTTGGTCTTCATGAAGAAAGAAAGACCTTCCTGAGGCCTCTCGATTCCACATTTGAAACATCGCCATAAACCATTTTGCTAAGAATCACCAAAAGTGAGTCCACTATGTTCAAAGGCAAATATTTCAGTAGCATCAATCCAAATTCGCCATCTTCCTTGACAGCAAATGTACCTGCATTAATTAATTCAACCCCTCTCAGTTAAGCACACTGATCACAAACAAACCATGTATAAATACACACATTTTCCAGCTGAGATATAAAGAAATGACTTATATTACCGGGCTTCGGATCAAGATGGAAGTTCTGGCTCGATGGTTGGCTAGGTCCAATGCAATTTCCATACCAGAATTGCCAGATCCAACCACCAGAACATGCTCATCTTTGAACTCCTTCCCTGACTTGAACCCAGTTGAATGAATCACTCTCCCTTTGAACCCAGCTAGCCCCTTCACCTCCGGCACAAAAGGCTCGCTGTTTTCTCCCGTGGCCACCACCAGAAACCGCCCGGAATATTCCTCCACCTCCCCGGAATCTCCATTCCTAGCTTTCACCCTCCATTCCCGGCCACCCTCATCGTACTCCGCCCTCTCCACGGCTCTGCGGTAGAGAGGACTGATTCTGAAGTGCGACACGTAGTCATGTAAATACTGTAAAAACTGCTTCTTTGGTACGTACTGAGGATAAGATTGTGGGAACGACATGTGAGGAAGCTCACAGAATTGCTTTCTGAGGTGAAGGTGAAGACGATCGTAGGAATATTTGTTCCACGAAGAAGCAAAACAGTCATCTCTTTCGAGGATTACGAAGGGAATAGATCGTTGAGTTAAGCATGCAGCCACAGAGAGGCCAGAAGGGCCTGCTCCGACAATGATCACACAGTGATGCTGCATTATATATGTCGTGGGTAATGTTCAATGTGTGTGGAAGCAGTGCGAGAGATCAAGCATATGGAAGAATATTTGTAGCTTGAGAGAATATATATATATATATATATATATATATATATATATAAAAGCTACTTAGTTTCTTGCTCGTTTCTGTTTAATGGCTTGAATGATGTCGTGGGATGTGAGAAAATTTCTAAAGTGAGCTTCAAGTGGCTGCTGATGATCTCACCATACAAGAAATTGAAGGCATTGTGTCGGCTCGAGAGACACAAATTGTCACGCGGTTTATCTTTTCTTGATTATTTTCATACGCTCGCAATTTACTTTAATATAATACAGTTTTACTTTCTTTATTATTTCGATAATCTCTAAATTTCTCTTGTCTGCGGTTAATTAAATTAGCAAGAGAAGCGCCGACTTTGAAGGTGCACGATGTTACGTGAGGATGAGGATAGGTTGCTTACTTGGGAGATAAGAAAACAATTTGGAGGCAACTGTATGTGCGGCATGATATTATTCACATCATATTCAGTCACTTTTATTTATTTTTTTGGGGGCTACTGAATATATATATATTGGCTTCATTGAAAAATACGACTAAGCAGTAGTTCAACGAACTCGTTAGATTTGAGATATTTCTGTTTTCTGCTCAACTTCCTTCTTTTGTTTTTTTTTTTTGGGGTCAAGATCAAGTGACCTTAATTACTTTATGTGCATGCCTTAATTAAATTAGCTTTTATATATGAGAGTCACAATTTTTATTTTTTTTGGGACCTGCACATATTTTATGACTTAAAAATGATAAGAGTTGTTATCAGTTTATTATAAATGAATTGCCATATTAGTATATTCTGTTATGTGTGTATATATAGTGGACGTGATATATATATATATGTGTGTGTGATTGCTTCATGTCTATTTCTCAAAATATAAATGGCGACATCCAATTTTCAGTACTATAGATAAATATTTTCATTTATTGTCTATTCCCATTGGGAAATAAATAGAATTGAATTAAGCCGCATTCAATATTGGTTTAGAACATGTAGCACTTTGCTACTTATTATTTGTCATTTGTAGGGAGGAATTTTGGTCATTTTTATTCGTCACTTCTTGTACCTGTTTTAATGCTTCATCTACAATTGTGCCCTTATTAATTATAGTAAAGATAAAGAGAAAGAAAATGAATGAAAAAAAAAACTAATATTCAATGTTTTTCTAGTAATACCTAATGTCTTAAAAATATTTTTTCACCTACCTTTTTGGTGGGAAAACTAATGCTATTTAAGTACGTCAGATAACTGTTATAAATTGCTGCCGAGTGATGTTACTGGGCATTTAAAAATGTTATTTTTAACTGTAAGACAAATTATTAATTAAACTCTGTAACATTCATTATTGAAATTTCATTGATTATTTATACAAAACTGATTAAATATGATAATTAAATAATAAAGTATTTATGAACTCACAACATGATACAGCTGGATTGTGACTGTGCAACTGTCTCCTGTTGGTGACTGCAAATTATGAGCAAGTGAAGGCTGCCTCTTCAACACTTTCTGAAACCAATTATTGTAACTTGCTAGGCACTTGTATTGATTTTCCTTTTTCTTTTTTGACCCACATAACCCAACAGAATTATATACTCCCTTCAGTCTTAAATATAAAATTTATTTTACAGTGTAAATTACACTACAAAATGAATTAAAAGTGAAGGAGTATTATATAATTATTACAAAAAGCGGTGTTTGCTTTATTTGGATGGATGAAATGCAGATAAGACGCAATCCACAATACTAGGGATAGCCCAAGTGAATTTGAATGCTTTCAATAAAATAAAGCCCAAACACTAAGAAGGATGTAAGGGCTTCGGGTTTTGGGTTGGGCTTGTCTTATTCTGTAGCCCAGCTACCTTTCAAAACTTTAACTCCTTTGTGATCGTTGCCATAGCCCACGCTTATCACTCGTGCACGAAGACACATGTTATGTGAATGAGTGCCTTTTTTTTTTTTTTTAATGAGAACCTAAATTTTGTATTATTTTTTAAATTTTCCTTTTGAGTCAAAAATTTATTTTTCATAAAATTAACACCAGAACATTGTTTTCCTTTGTTTTTGGCTACCGAGAACTGTTTTCATTTTACATTCTATGCCTATTTTTTGGGTAAAAAGAAGTCAGTTTTATTAATCACAAATTCAGATTACAAACACTGATAGCAAAAGAAGGCCGAAGAGAGCAAACACTCAAAAAAAAAAAAAACACTATCAATACAACCTAACAAACTACTCAAATCAGAAAAGAAAACAATTTGCAAAATAGCGACTCATTACAATATTAGTATTGGTTTTGATAACAATTAATAAGTAAATGACCGACAATTTTTGTGAATGGATTCCTGTATGTAATTTTTTAATTTTTAACATTTTTTTTTATGATTTTCGTTAATGATTATGCTTATTGATTTCAAATACTTTCCATTTTTAAAAGCAAGGAGTATTTACAGACTCGTGAAAAAAAAATGCCGGAAGGGAAATGCTTTTTGCATAATGCTCTAAATCAAATTCTTGCTTCATATGCGCATTCCGTGATGATTGAAACCGATGCGGGAGATCCTTTTTTTTTCCCCTTTTTATTTAATATTTTATAAGTTATTTCTTTGAAAATTCCTCTAATTTCAACGCTACAAAGTTTACCAAACTACATGATTTTCTTTTAACATCAAGGAATTTTCTGGGGCTAGCTTTAACATCAAGAAATTGGGAAATTTTTCCCATGGAAGTAAAGTTATGTTAGTAGGAAGTATTAAAAATGAAAGATTGGAATTAGAATTGCATTGAGAAATTTATTAAAGAATGTTTAGTATAAGAGATGTTTGTATTAGATAGATGCTTGGTATATAGGATTAGCGAAACCTATGTATGTGGGATTGGCGAATACTATGGAGAGAAGTGGTATTTCCCAATCTCGCCTCTATGGGTTTGCCCAATCCCATATAACAAATAATTACTTATGTTAAGTATTTTTAATGATTTTTTTCAATTGTAATCTCAATTCCAATCCCAATATCTCATTTTTAATATTCTGTACCAAACGGGACTAAGAGACCAAATCTAGTGCATTGAAAGCCATTAGTACAAAGACAATGAGATTGCACTTGTGATCTTTATTATTAACATTTTATCATTATTGTTATTATTAGGCCAGAATACGTATAACTATAACCTTCTCAGACCCATGTCTAAAGTATACATGAAGTTTTCAACGTGTAATAGTGAAATTAATTAAGTGCATGACAAGATCCTATGATTTTGTTTTGTCTTCTGGCCTCTGTTTTTCACTGAAATTGAGTGAAAGCTTTATCATTTGGGTCTGAAAATTGAATAGGTGATTGTGCAGAGTCGCTAATGTTTTAATGACGTTTTCCTTTCTGTGTTACTTCTTACTAGTTATTTGGTGTTTATTAAGTCTTGTTTTTTTTAATTGTTATTGTTATTATTATTCACGTTACTTGCTTTCCACAACGATCATGTACGTTATGCTTGCAGTGGGTCTCTTTTTTGTCAAATGTACTGTAAAAAAACTTTTGGATTTATTATCATAGTGAAAGGAATAGTCCTTTAGGCAAACCAAAATTTGAATTTCTGATACAAGAAGTATTCACATTTAGTATCTGACAATATCTTAAAAATATTTCAAATCAGATTGTCCCCAATAAAATAATATTTATATATAGCAAAAAAATTTAAATTTTTTTTGGATGTACGCATCTTTTATTTACAAAGGCATGCTTTTTTGGGCTTGAAGAAACACTAAGAAAGGCGCTTAGGGCGCAAATCATTAGAATTTGAAAACAAAAAATGATGGATTTTGAGGAACTCTCAAGAAAAGTCATCGATGGAAGTGAGGAGTTGCTGGAAAAAGAAAGATGGCGTTAAATAAAAGTGAAAATTAGGGATTGCTTAGAGGAATGATAAAATTACCTTTAAGCTTTTTTTCTTTTTGGCCAACGGCCTATGTGTTTGAACTTGAAAAGTAAAAATTTCAATGTCATTTTTCTAGTAATTTTAATTAATCTTATATGGCATATAATCTAGATTAGATTTAATAGCAGGGAGTTTATTGTCAAAATTTAAAAAATGAGGGTGTCAATTTTAAACAAGAAGGGTGGCATTCCAAATTTAAGGAAAGTTAGGTGTATTTTGGCTTGGCTATTAGCATTAACAGTTTTATTTGTCCTGCTCTCTCTTTTTTTCCAGGTTCTCACCTATACCTAGTTTTTACTTTTAGGGTCTGTTGGTTAGAACGAATTAATTGGAACGGAAAGAAATAGAAAAGAAAAGAATGAAATAGAATAGAAAATGTCTAAATAATGGCATATTTGGTAAGCATTGGAAAGAAAAATGAGCTGATGAAAAATTTATGTTTAGTTAGATGAAAATGGATTGAAAAATTGTGCAATTTACCATGTTAGCCTTAATGGAAAAAAAAAAGATATTAAAAAAAAATGCTTTTCAACATTAAAGAATAATAATAGTATTAAAAAAAATTCAATAATCCAAAAAAATAAATTAATAAATAATCATTTAAATAAATAAATAAATAAAATACTCAATAAAATATAAAAATCATCATAGATTTTCATAAAAAAATCATAAATATTAATTTTTAATAAATAAATAAAAATAATAAATAATACAAATATAAATATGAAGATAACGTTTATTTTTAGTCACTATACTTCTTTCCTATATTCTCTCGTAGTTGCAGGAACTTCCTCTTTCGAAAGCTTGCAATTCTAAATGTCTCAAACGTTTTGTTTTTAGTCATTATATTTCTCTTGGCTTTTATCAATTCAGATTTTTACTTTTTACTTAAAACTTCTCGTTTCCAAGTCATGAGGTGGATCAAATTCAAATTTGTGAATGGATTTTTATTTCATTAAAAACTAGACTCAAATAACTTTTTAGTGATAGGTGACTTGCCTAATTGATATTTAAATTGATAAAGTTATGTCGGATGAAATTTAAGCTTCAATATAACAAGGAAAAGAGTTAGCAAAATTGAATTTGATACTGAAAATTGAAATATTCTTGTAGCAAATTCGAATCTACACAAAAAAATATAGATTCCCTTGTATCAAATTTGAATGTGCTCATTCACCAAAAAAAAAAAAAATTGAATGTGCTCATTTCGTATGAGTAGGAAGGATCAAATTACTTCATCTAAAAATGCCCACTCATTATTCAGTGGTTTTTTTTAGAGAGTATTTAAATGTGTTTCCTCTCATTTCTTCCTTTAGCTGTATAATTTTGATGTTCCATCCAGCTCTTTTCTCCTCTTCCATCATCCCTGTCCCTTGGTGCTTTCTCTTTAGGGGGTAAAGTTGTCCCAAAAATTTTTCCACAAAAAATGATGGGAAGCCATCTTCCTATATTTAAAGGAAAATGTCCCCACCGTCGGAAAATGGTTTCCAGGAAGATTGAGCTACCAAACCTCTTTAGTTGATGGCCACGAAAATGCACTTCACTTTATGCTCGTGTTCTCCGGTCTCATCAATCCCTCTGTATTCTTTTTTGAGGCAAGAAAATTTCGGATACATTTAATGGATACTAGAAAAAGGTAAACAATAGATATGTTAAATACACTCTTACAGCTTTCACCCAAAAAATACAAAGGTTTATTTTCCCACAACATACTCAAAAACTCATAAAATTTTTATTTTCCATCAACACATATTATTATGAAAAAAATTTGATAGAATCAAATATTATTTTCTTAAAAAATGAACAAACATAACATATAGCAAATAACAATACAACCACAGAAGATAATCAATAGTGAGGGCCATGACAAAAGATCAGAATAGTGCAGAGCGAACCCACCACCACTTCTCGTAATCCTCTTTTAATTCCTCAATCATCAGCCTCTTCAGATTCACTTTCTCCACCAGCCATTCTTTTCTTCTTTTTGATCCTTTTCTGTTCTTCTTTCTCTCACAGACACATTCATTACGGAGCAATTGATTTTGTGATCATTCATGGCTTCCTTTTGCTCATTCTGGGCTATACTATTATCATTCGCCTTAATGGCGGCACACCCTTGTCCATCATTAGCTCAAGCATCTCCATTAAGTACTCATGTTTCTACGATATCAGCATCACCAGCAAGCTCTGAAGAAGCTCCTATGTTATCCCCAGATATTGAGCCTCTGTTTCCAACTCCAAGGGGAGTTGCTTCTTCTCCTTCACAGTCCTCTTTGCCCACAATCCCTTCAAGTCCTAGCCCTCCCAATCCTCAAGTGTTGGACACTCCTGGCTCTGTACTGGCTTTTCCGCCATTGGCCTCCATGCCTGCTGCTTCCCATGCTTCATCTCGCTCTCTGATTTCTGTTTCATATCTGGCTTCACTGGTAATTTTCTTGATGCAATTTCGTTTTGTGTAACTGGATGCGGATGTTGCTTATACTTCAGTGCTGCTTTCGTTTGTTCTTTTATGTTCTTTGGGCATTTCATGTTAGGTATAAGGCATTGTTAACTCCTGGTAAAGTTAATGTCCATGAGGTTAGAGAATGGCGAGGCTTGTCACTGTCCATGTAATATTGTCTATTACTGAACTGAAAATTAAAAAGGAATACTCCCTCCCACATGGTCCTTTGTTGCTATTAATTGTTCTATGCAATAGAGATCCACTAAAAAGGCAAAATGCACAACCAAACTGACCTTAGAAATAGCATTAGCTGAAGATTCCTCGAGGGCCACCAATTTATCCGGTGTTGCACAAAAACCCTTTTGGCTCACTCTGTTCTTTGCGCACTTTGCATTAAACGAATAAAAGAAATACAGTTGATCTATAATAAAAGCCACTCGGGATTTATACTACAAGGCATTACGTGCGATCTGCTCTTTAACTATTGTAATTAAGAGAAACATGGTTTATTTACATTACAAGAAGCTCGGGATTCTCAGAACAGGAACGAAACTATTGAACTACTGGATTACAAGACCACGTCATGACAACCACAACTAGGAAGCTAGAGTACTAGGGTTCCGTTAACCATTGAGCAACTTCCATGACAAGGCTCCCTTGAGTTTGTTGAACCCAAATGGGTTACTCCACTTCTTGTTGTAGTCCTTAGCAACATAGATTCTCATCTTCGCATTCTCCTCCCTCAGCAAATCTATTGCTAAGCTCAGATGTCTTATTACCTTTATTTTCTCTTCGTCTTTCTCCTTGAGTTGATCCCTCTGTCCTCTATTCTCTTCTCTGAATCTTTTTATGTCTTCCCTCAATATCGTTACTTCATTAGACAAGGCATCTTTCAGCTTCATTTGATCCTTGTAAGCCATGTTCTCTTCTCTGAGTCCTCCCACTAGTTCTTTCAGGATCATCACTTCATCATTTATGGCATCTTTCTGGTTGAGTTGATCTTTATAAGCCCTGTTTTCTTCCTCGAGTCTCTCAATTTCCTCCCTCAACCTCATCAGTTCATCATCGTCAGCAAATTTGGTAGTTAATTTCAGCTCAGAATCATCAATTTCAGACTCCACAGATTCCTCAGCATCACAATGCTCGGAATAGCTATCATAACTTCTATCCTCAAGACCCTTTACGTTGTCTGGTTGGTATTTGGTCTGCGGAAATGGGGATACACCTGTCGTGAGGAGGCGAATTCCAGTATCAGATTTGACTTGATCATAGCGCTCAGCTAATGACCGCTGTGTCCGATAGAAATCTTCGAGCATGTGGATAAGTTCGGGTCGCTTCTTGTAATACATTTCTGCACGTTCCGCAAAAGAATCTGCATCTTCCTCTATCAGTTCTAATATTGTCTTGGTCTTTTCATTCAGCTCTGCCATCAACACACAATACACAAATTCATCAAATCACCCTACCTGTCTTAATCTCAGAGTTATTACTAAAATTTTATGTTTTAATGGCGATCAAGTATAAGTTCATAGTAAAGTCCAGAGAAATAAATAGGAAAAAAGTTGAAAGGTAGCACCCAGAAAATTATAAAGGAGGCCCCAAAACTTTTCACGTTCACGGTACTTGTGTTCCTCTAATTTCTCCATTCCCCGCTCCCCCCCTTTTTTAAATTTACCCGGAACTTTAAGAAAGCAAATAATGATACTTAAACTTTTTCCTAAAGCACAAACAAGGCTAACAAGAGACCGTTCACAGTCTGCTTGAGGCAAACTAAGAAATTAAAAGACAGCGAACCAGAGAATGATTGAGTGGTGGACCCGAGTCATTCATTTTCCACCACCAACCTTCATGCTATAATGCATCGCTGACCTGAGTGAACGCTTTGTTAAGTACTTTACACTGAAAGTGCCAAAGAGCAATAACAGAAAGTGCAGCAAGAAAGGAACAGATGACCGAGAAAGGATTTAGTAGGCACCAGCGATAGTGGATTGGAGCCAAGGGGATTGTCTAATGGTGCTATGATTGTCTAGCCACCACCAGTGTGAGGGTTGATCCTTCGTCATTTGAGCTCTCTTTTGCTTCACTATTCTCTAGTTTATCACCAAAAGCATGCTCTGTATGTATATGTTTATATAAGCTCATATAGGACGAAACAGAAGCGAGGATAGGAAATGCAGAAGCATTTAAGAGCAATACGGCTTAATCGTAAACCCACAGGCCACAGCCAAAAGGATAAAGAACAAAAGGCACCAAACTGATCGATCAGTTTCGGCACAGGGACAATGCGTTAATGCACCGACTATGAGACTGAATTCGCCTCTTCGTTGTTTACAAGAACGCAGGACATGACGTCAGAGGAAGGTCATTCCCGTCATTCCAACCCTCGTAGCCATTACCCAATATGGGAGATGGATGCAATCAGATATGGAAAAACAAAAAGAGAAAGAATCTGACGCAGGCTTGAATTAAAAACAATCTGAGTCTCACGGAGAAAATGGAAGGGAATTAAATTTCCGTTGAGATAATCATGATAATAAAAATAAAAGATAAAGACGATGCTAACGGGCACCGATGGAAAGAAAGATGAATGACTGCGATTTTGCAATAATGCGGAAGGGACAAAAAGGCAGTAAGAAGAAAGAGTGGGAAATAGAGGGAAGAGGATGGTTCAATTGTCAAGAATTAGAGGAAGGAAAAAGACGTCGAGGACATCTGAAACGTGGATGGGTAATGAACCGCCATAGAAAGAGAAAAAGCGTCCGCGTTCAGTGCTCATCCGGTGATCAGCAAACGATGAGCAATCTCGAGGTCTAATCTGAACAGTTTAGATTTAATATTTTTAAATAATTATTTAAAAATAAAAAAAATTATATTTTTAAAGAATAATAGTTAAGAGATTATCTTTATTTTTTATCCTATATATATTAAAATAATTATTTTAAAAATTAAAATTAAATCTGAACTGTCCAGATCTGATGACTATTGGGTGCTCATCAAAACTGATGAGCAGCCAATGCAAATCCGAAAAAAGGACAGAAAGACTGCGATGATGAAATAGGAACAGAACAGAGAGAGATAAATGAGAAAGAAGACAGGAAAATACCTGATTCCAATCATCCTCTTCACCACTGCGGTCTCTACGAGAGCAGAGGGAAAGCGCGGGGAGTAAACAAGTATGGGAATATGTAATCTGTATAATTCCATACCCCAAAAAAACAAGTTTTTTGTTTTTTTTATATTTACAATTGTTTTTCTAATTCTAAATATAAAACCCTTATACACACTAGTATAAAGATCTTATATTTAGAGCTGGAGGAGTAATTATTTTTCTTATACATGCCAACAAGATCAATTTGAAACCGAATTTTTTTCGCCGCCAAATTGAAATTAAATTTGAACTTTATTAAGTGAGTGTGTGTTATGGTCTCTCTTTTTTTTTTGCCAACTATATATATAATTATATATATTTTGCCATGTGTGTATATATATTATAGTCTTTTAAGCTAATATTTCCATTCTTCTAATTTCTACCGTACATTTCATTAAACTTGGTGTAACTTTAATTTTATTGCTTTAGTATTTTTTCCAAGAAAATGTATACTTAAATACAATTTTTTTTTTGTTACATACTTATACTGTTACAAGCGAGACAAATGCTAATGTCAATTAGTCAAATTTAACTTAGATAATTTACATATGCAAATCGTTTATGATGAAATTAATAAAACATCTTAATTATGAATTTGAAAAAATATTTTTTTTAGCGGAGTAAAACCATAAAAAATATTTAAGATGTAAAACTTAATCTGTTTTTATTGAAATGTTGACCATATATAGCTTTTTTTCGCTTCAGTTAAAAATTAATGAACCGCCTTCAAGACTTAAATATAGCGAAGTTATGCTGCCTATTTAAAAGATTCCAACTAATAAGGATTAAATTGAGTAAAAATGATTAATTTCTCATAATAGGATAAACTAAGGATTAAAATGCTCATGTTTAATATACAATTATCTCTAGTAGAAAGGGAACACTTGTACCTAGCAAAAAAATTCATACTTAAAACTTTGCTGAACAAGCATCATATTATTTTTAATTTCACGGAATTTTAGTTGGTTTTATTTATAACTTTCCTTCGTTAAATGTCATGCACATAAGAAAAAGCACGAAAGAATAAACATGCACGTTGATTATTTTAATTTTCATTCTATTCATTTTTTTATTTCCTCTCTCCCTCGCTGGCTCTCACTAACGGCCTGTTATCCAATAAATATTTCAAAACAAGAAATTCTTATGAGTGTGGGATTTCAAAATGAGATTTTGAAATGCAGGTAAAAAGTCATAAATGTGCGGTGCGTTGTCTAAGAAAACGTTCCCTGTGCTTCCGGATAAGTGCTCGTTTTGTTCAAGGAGTGTAGTTTTTTATATTATAAAATGAAATGTTAAAAACAACTTTTAAATGTGAGATAATATTTGAGTCTCTATATAAAAACTATAAATAAAAAATTATTGTTATTAAGTATTACTTCCGGTCTTATTTATAAGATCTCATTTGTAAACTATAAATGAGATTTTATAATTAGAATAAGAGATAGTAGTAATTTATAGAGAGGTATTTTCTCATGTTCAAAATATACGGTAAACTTTCTCCATTTATGTTTATTAGAAAATTAGTTAAAATCAGTTTAAAACAATAAAAATGCAATGCATGTATTTTTTTTAAAAACAACACTCTTATTAATAAAGATAATAAATGAATCAAAGAGAAAAGAAAATATATAGAGACAAAATTGGAAAAAAAATCATTAAATGCTTAAACAAAAATAAATATTATCTTGTAAAAAATCAAACCTCTTCAACAAAATTTATCTTATATTTTAAACTGAATGAAGTAATATCTTTTACATATCTCATTTCTCACAAGAAAAATGCTTTCCATTAGCACTAATTAAAAATTCTCTTACTCTTCCTTTTGGATGGGAAGAAAAATTAGAAGAAAAGAAAATAAGAAAAGAGAAAACTGGAAAAAAATGCTATTATTCCTCGTGGATGAAAGAAAACAAAAAAAAAATCTAAATGACTAAAATATATCTATTTCTATATCAAAATATATCATGTCTAGAACCAAATCAAATATCAAAATGAAAAGAATCGTACTTATTGCATCATCAAATTATTTGATGATTTCATATTTTTCTTTCTTTTCACTTTTTCTCTCTCTTGTTTTTCCCTACCCGAATAAAAGGTCAAAGAACACACTTTTCAAGGAAGTGAAGAGGAAAAGAAGTGCAGATAAACCAATTGTAGTTGTTTGTTCACAGTTAATAGATGACATTTTTGTTTTGAGCAAAATCATACTCACAAAAAATACATAAAAAAATTAAAGATTACAATATTTCTATTCAGCCACTTAAGAAGTCAAAATTCCAGAAGAGGTAAGTCTTACCTGATCTAGCATTTTGCAACTATAGTTAAATGACAAAAATACTCTTATATCGAAAAGTTTATTAACAAGTTTTAAACTGATAATGACGAGTGTTAAATAGAAAATGACAAAAAATATAATAATAATGACAAGTTATTTATTAATAAGTTGTAAATTAACAATGATAAATATTAAGCAACCAATGATAAAAAATACACTGATAATAACAAGTTTGATTTTTTAAAAAAAATATGATACAAGAGCATTTTAGTCATTTGATTATATTTACAAAATACCAGATCAGGCACCACTTCCTTCTCTAAGATTTTGACCTTTTAACTACCTGAATTAAAATATTGCAATTTTCCACTTTTTTTATATCATTTTTTCCCACAAAAAAAGACTTGAGAGAATAAGTAAAGTGAAAAATCTCAGCAAGTATGATAATCTTATAAAATTAAACTGCTGTTATAATTAAAATTTCTTTTATTTTTCATGTAAAGCTTTAAATGATTTGAGAGTAACTTTTCAAAATTAATACGTTTTTCAAATTCAGTAGTAAGTCATCGAAAACAATATCTTCAATTAAAAATAATAATATTTCCAATATAGATTTTAATATTTAAAAAATTTACAATTTTCGAGATTCCTTGGCGCAAAATTTTCAATACTTAAATGGAGAACCATTTAAGAGTAACGGGACTTGGGGAATGTTAAACACTTGATAAAAATGTTTCTAAGCAAGTCGAAAATACTTCATAAAATCATTTATAAAAAGCTAATCTAAACACCTCTTAATCGCGTCACAGGCTATAGGCAAAAGGATTAAGAACAAAAACCACCAAACTTATCAATCAGTTTTCATGCAGGGAACCATGCGTTAATGCAGCAAATGAGACCGAATACTCTTCGTTGATCCCTATTTTCCCCTCCTATTTTATTCTCTAATCCAAAGAGCGAAAAGTTCTTTTTTCTCCCTATTTTCTCTTTTACTTTCCTTTCTAATTGTCTCTCCATCCAATCACACCGTTAGATAATTTCCACATTTTTTTTGGCCAAAGAGCAATTTTCATTTTAGTCCTTTACCTTTAACAAGTTCCATGTTATTTTTTAAAATTTTCTACAGTTAATAACTCCCTAGTTATTAGTTGTTAATGGGATTAATATGTATATTTACCTTAAAAGTTTTCACTCAAGTTTTTTAGGTATAAATTTACCTTAAAAGTTTCAAATCATAATAATTTTAGCCCCTGTTAAAAAAACTAACATTAACCTTTAAAATAATAACATTGACAGTTGACTTTTTAATTGTAGGGCCAAAATCGGTACAGTTTTAAATTTTTTGAAATAAATTTGTATTGAAAAAAACTTCCTAGTACCTATTGCTCTTGCATGAAAACTTTTGAAATAAATTTATATCTTAACCCTTATTCATATTTTTAAATAAATTAACAAAAAATCATAACTTGTATACTCACCATCTAAACCTGTTAGTTAATCTAATAATTATTATCAAATTAAAGGCTTAAAATAAATTTTTACCATCTTTTTCACTATTTTAATTTAATACATCAATTTATTAATTTTTCAAAACTTTTGTTAAAATGTTTAAAATTAAAATTTTAGTTAAAACATTTTTAAAGCTTAAAATAAATTATTACTGTATTTAAAATATTTTAACTTAATACATTAATTTAAATTATATACGATTCATTTTTTTAAAAAAATTAGTAAAATGATTAAAACCACAACTTTAAACTAAGCTAGACTTTTTAAAGAAACTTTAAAATGAAATTATAGAACCATATTCTAATCCAAAGTCAGAAGCCTTCAGATTCCCAAAGGCATCAAGAACTAGATTTCCAGGCTATAACAGGATAGATAGCAGAATTATAATCAAGATTAAAACATGGTATACTAAATGGAAAAGAAAATTAATACTAGTCTTTAAAATAAAACCTAGTTGACTAATTTAGAAAGATTAAAAAAATGAATTAAATTAGTTTTGTTTTTTCTAAAATATCCTTACTATGTATGTGTATTAGCTAAAACTACTATTTGATGAACATTTAACATGTGCAATTACTACAAAGACTAATTTAAAAAAATAGATAAATATGAAAGAAAAAATGAATTGAGTTCTTATATTTAGGATCAAATTGAAAGTCAATCTAATGTTTATATTAAGGACTAGAGATAGTACCATATATTTCTCCTTACCTTTTAGGTCTCCACGGTACACACACTGTGACAATGAGCAACATCATCTATGAGTTGTTGAAAGTAGTGCCTGGATTCATTTTCTGAAAGCTTCCCCTGATGAATTTAAACGTCCAGAAAAGGTATAGAAACATGGAAGATGAAAAGGAAAATATGTATATATTTATATCAGCATGAACCAAGAATACATCTAATCTCTCTCATAATAAGTGGGTCATCACTTAATGTTACCAACTTAAAATGGACAGGCTTGATATGATCAACATTTTTTTTTTCAAAAAAAAAAACCATGATAGCTTCAGTTGTAATTCTTGACTCCAATGACAAATCAGTGAAACTATTTTGCTACTATCCTTACATTGACCACAGGGGTTCTGTTTAGAATATCCAAGATGCTTGGATCTGAGGTAATTATAAGCTGACCAAACCAACCATAGATGAAATTCTAATATCAACTTAACACAGCTCTAAGACATCAAGTGATCAGTGGTTGCACTATCACACTGTCTAGTATATCTAGATAGACAGAGGCTTTTGAAAGATCTTGGGCATGCTGCTATTGGAACAATTCATACGGAGGTTTTAGAAGGAATAAAAAGAGCAAGACTTTGTCGAGGCAAGCATCTTCGCAGTAATAGTCTATTTGGTTTGAGCTTACTGCAATAACTTCTTTCTTTTTTTTCCCCCCTGCCATCTAATGCAATAACTTCTCTTAACAAAGAACCCAACAATTTCTGTGCTACAAGGGGTTTTTTTCCTTTGTGATTCTTTTTTTTAGCATATGGGTGTAGTAAAGGTTTTTCTCTGAGAGGCTATTAGAATATATGTTCTCTTTTTTACTTGCCTTTTCTCTGTTCGGTCCCTACTCTAATCATCCACCAGTTAACCTTCTCCTTGTATTTGATAAATTATCAAAAGACTAGCAGGCCACGTTCTTTTGACAGATCATACACAGCCAAATAGAAGACGGAGCGTGGTTGGCAAGGTACAAATCATCAAGAGACTATCATAGAAGAAAAGAACTGTTACAAGAACAAACCAATGTCATCCGATGCTTCTTACCAGAATTCTGTGTTTTCTCTCCTCTTTGCTTTGAACAACAAATATTAGGTGCTCCTATATAAAAGTCAATGACCTTTGTCGGAGTACCCTTAAAAATAGAAGCTCAAATACAAAGCAAGTATATCTATTTACATCTAAAGACTGTCATTTCTCGAATAAGCCACATGCAATTTCAAAGGATTAGAAGACATGCAAAAATAACAAAGGCAGCTTTGCAAGCACTGTTCAAGCTTTTGGATCAATCTTGATTTTCCCAAATTTGTAAATACACATCAATCTCAATTTCCCCATATTTGAAAAGAGGCATCAAACTCAAGCTTCAAATGACAGTGATTTTTAATCATTGCAAGTACACATGCATAGGAAATGCGCCAAAGTATATGTAAGGGGGCTATAAAGTAACAATGACATAGTAGACTACTATAATTATATTAATGCACTTTTTAAGATTTAGCAACAAATAATATGAATATCAAAGAGCCTAGTAGGATTGCATTAAATATATAAGCTCAAATACCAAAGCAAGCACATCTGTTTACAGCAAAAAACTATGATATCAAAGCAAGTAATCTATTTACAACCAAAAACTATAATTTCCCAAATAAGCCACCTATGCAACTCCGAAGGATCACAAGGAATGCAGGAATAATAAAGATGGCTTTGCACACAAAGTTCACGCCTCTAAATCAATATGAAATTTTCCACATTCTTAAAAAGGCATCAATCTCAATATTTCCGCATTTGTAAATAGGCATAGAAATCAAGTATCAAATCATGCGGTGATCATTGATCTTTGAAAATATGCATGCATCGGAAATTTGACAAAGTATATGTTAGTGGCTAATAAAGCAACAAAGACATGGAGAGTCTAAGCTAAATAGCAAAACTAGACTCCTGTAATTATATTTATGCACTCTAAGATTAGGGATTGAATAATATGAATGACAAAGTCTCGCAGGAGTGCATTAAATATACAAACTCAAACACCAAAGTAAGTACATTTATTTACATAAAAAAACAGTCATTTCCCAAACATGCCACATACGCAATTATGAAGGTTCGCAAGGTATGCAAGAATAACTACGGTAGCTTTGTATGCCAAATCCAAGCCTGAGTCAACATAAATTTTCCTATATTCATAAATATGCATCCAACTCAAGCATCAAATGATGCTACGATCATCAATCTTCGTGTGTATGCATAAACTAAAAATTTGCCAAAGTATATGTAGAGGGGCTATAAAACAGCAAAGACATAGAGAATCAAAGCTTAAGAGCAAAAGTAGAACCCCTTAATTATATTCGGGCACTTTGAAATTAGGCATCAAATGATGAAAATGTCAGTGAGCCTCAGAGGAATGTACTACATGTACACGCTCATATACCAAGGTGAGTACATCTATTTACATCAAAAAATTATCGTCCCTAAATAAGCCACATATGCAACTCCAAAGAATCATAAGATTTGCAAGAATAGTTAAGGCAACTTTGCAGGCCAAGTTCATGCTTTAGAATCAACCTAAATTTTCCCACATTCATCAAGAGGCACCAACTTCAAATGTCCTACATTCGTAAATAGTTATCAATCTTAATCTTCCCACATTTATAAATAGCCATCAATCTCAATCCTACCACATTCGTAAATAGGCATTGAAATCAAGCATCGAATGATGCATTGATCATCAATCTTTGCAAGTAGGCACACATCGAAAATATGCCAAAGCATAGTAAGGAGGCTATAAGGCAGCAAAGACATGGAAAGTCTAAGTTGAAGGCACCCACAAGGTCCAAAAACTGTGTGCATAACTAAACATAAATATGCACATCTGAGCATCTGTGTCATAATGTCATCTTTTATGGTCTTTCATTTGAAGAATAGAATAAATGTGCCCAAAAAAAATCAAACAGTTGATGTACAGACACCTATGTGATGGGCTAGTGGCAAGCCAATTTTTCTGCAGTATACAGAATCATTTGTTATGCTGGGCTAAGGTAAGCTTTCTTAATAGTTTGGGGTTTTAGGTTTCGCTCAAGTATGAATGTCATAAAAGGCGTGGGATTTAACAGCTGCCTATATTAGAAAATGCGCAGGCAGAGAGTAATGGCTTGAAAAATGACTTCATCCTGCATAAATAATAAAGAAAAGGGCAAAAAAAAAAAAATTTTGGGGGGGGGGGGTGGTTTGTGAATGCGTCATTACAAGGATAAAGAATCCTTGAATAAATGCATGAATAAATGGTATGATGTACAATTGGTTAGACAGTCCTTATGTCTCTCTCAATCTGTGCAAACAAAAAATCCATGTCAGTCAGATGACTTTATGAAACTCTGTTTCCCTTTCCACGTGTACTTTTTCCTCTTGGGATACAGATGGTCGGAAACCCCAGGGGACTTTATCAGTTATCTGGATTCCGAACCTTTTATAAAAACATATTGCTCGTTATTTATAGAGAGAATAATGGCCTTAAAGAAAATTATTAGTGCCTTGCTCATATTCATGAACCCTTCCGATCAAACTTCCTCAACATCTGCAGACTGCCGTACAATTCCTTCAACTTTAGTTCTTGATAATTACACATGGCAAATTAAACAACAACCCTTTACTGAAGAAATCAGGGTAAACATTACTCATGCATACAACTTATTCTCTGATTGTAGAATCTCTCATTGTAGAACTAGATGAACAGCAATCAAGTGCAAAAAGCCCCAAAAACACCATGGCAGAGGCCAATGTTATGTGGCATATTGCCAGGGCTAAATTTCAAAAAATGTTTGAATGATAAAAGGTTTCACAGAACACAAAATAGAAGTAAATAAACAGGTGCAATACAACAATTATCAGCATAACATGATATCCAGGTACACAAATCAGCGAACTCCATCTTGATGGTGCAGATTAAGATCAAGCGTCTACTTATGACCTAGGGAATCATGGGGAGGGGAAATAAGATCTAGATTTTAGAGAGCTGTGTATTTAGGACTCTAGCACCAGAGTCACATGTTGGCTTCTAATTATTGGCATTTGGCAATAGCAAGGCCTTCAATTAGACACAAAGATTGTAAACATGGAGATTTGCTAGAAGGAGAAACCAAATGGATCTACTACTGAATCGAGAATATGGGAAGTTATAGGGGTAAAAGAAGTATACGGTTCAAAACAGTTGCATGCATATAGTTTGTATAGTTCAATAAATGATCTCAGGCATTGGGTTGAAAAGTGAGATTATACGTCGTGGCAGCATGAACTTAGTTTCAGAATTAAATCATCTATAATCACATAGTCATGTACTAGGAGACAGAATAACACATCAATGAAAATGTACAAGAGGCCCACTTTCCTTTCCAAAAAAAAAAAAAGTTCTGTTTTCTCTTAATCTCTTGTCGACTGCAGCATAAACAGTCATAAATAGTCATTTTTATGAGTGCAAAAGATTCCTATTGCTTAGTTTCAGTCAAGAGTAACATAAAAAACAGCAATAGTAGCATGGCGTAATACTGAAGCCACGTGCTGCCACAATGTAATAGTCCAGCTGTCACGTGAGTCTCATATAAATAATAAACTTAATGTTCCATGAGATGCTATTAGAGACAATTCACCTTATTTCTATTTCTGTACCTTAAGTAAGAACATGGGAACAACAGGCAGAATTTTCCACAAAGAGTCTCTTACTTGGGTTTAGCTTAGGATCAATTTCATATCTAACAAAATAGAGCAGGGCATAGCCTATACTCCAACTAGAGGCAAAAGAATTATGAGAACTAGCTAGGCCCATGTTAACCCTATTCAGCATGAATAAAGATCATCCATGGCAAAGGGAATAAGTCTAATTAGTCAGGTTAGTGATTCCCACCTGAGGGGCATTAAGTTAAATGAAATACAACTATATTACAAGGTCATGGCAGTAAAAGCCTCCTTACCATGATTATCAAGAAACCAAAGAGTTTTTCAGGGACGGATGGACCTCCATCAATATCCTGTAATGCTAGAAGAATTTGTCTTCGAGCAGCCAAAGACTTAACAGGCCGCTCATCCCTCCCTGGAAGCCCAATAAAAAAACAAGTGAATATACGGATGACAGGAAGCTGGATAAACAAACAAAATAATGATAAAGCATAAACTAAAAATACGAAGTACATAAAAAAACCACAAGGAAAGTTCATATATAATTGAATTGTGCTATTAAAATTGAAACAATAAGCTAAAATGTAACGGCAGTGAAGGACAAACATTGATTAAAGGACCCTTCAAGAGAATTACCCACATCACTCCTAAAAACAGCATTTTGACCCATGACACGAGCAACGCCCAGTGCTTGCACTAGGGCTTGTTCAAGAGTTGTCTTCCACTCATACAAGTCTTCTGACGTCTCAGCCTAACATTTGATAAAACAGTGAAGAATGTGTATATAACCAAACCATTCCAAATGGCAGGTAGAAGTAACGGTATCTGAATTTCCATCCTATCCTATTATATAGAAATTTAGTAGTAAATGAAGAGCCTTAACAGTGAATGCTCTCCCATCACTTCCACCAGGAAACAATACAGTGGGCAGTTTCTTGTCTTCTTTAAGAACACTGAAAGATAAAATTCATACTATAAGACAGATCATCAGAATGCTACATAAAGAGGATTTCGACAACAAAACTTAACTTCCTGAATTGTTTAAGTCAATACCCCTAATGTCGTATTTACTTCACCACCTTTCTGTGGAAAGGCACCCCACACTACAGATCAAAATAAGCTCCATAAGTTTATACTCTGTGGTCACCTCCTAATCTCTAACCACAAATGCGACTGGACAAAATGCCATTTGTCATGGAAATCAGAATAAACTAACGGTATTTTGATATTGATAGAGGGAGAAGTTTAATCAATCACAATTTTACCGTTTGCAAAATTATGGTATGCGCATATATCCAAGGCCGATTCATACAAAGAAGCAGAAAAAGAATTGAATGAAAGGGAAAAAAGGATTCCAAGTAAAGATAGGTTAGATTTGCAAGATACTAACCGGATCAATTTTAAAGAAAACCAATGATGTACGTGTAAGTATAAACCACCGCTTCTTCCAAAACTTCCAGCCTATAATATACATAAACCACTCAAAGCCACATTATTCACAGGGCCATGAACCATGCAGTTTTAAGCCTCAGATTTCATGCAACAAACTAGGCCCAAAATCTAGTTTAATTTATTTATAATCTAACAAAATCCATGAAAACAAAAGGTTACTAAAATTAGAAATAGCCTCCTTCCTCTTTTCAAAAGAAAGAAAACAAACAAGGAAAATGGATATAACAACAAAACTTTAGAAGAAATGAAAAGTGAGGAAAGCTTGCAACAACAATTTAAGCAACTTTTTGTGCCAAGTTCAAGCCTTTTAATCAATCTCAATTTTCCCATATTCGTATGAAGCCATAAATATCAATTTTCCCACATTTGTAAATAAGTATCAATCTCAATTTTCCCACATTCCTAAATAGGCATCAATTTCAATATTCCCACATCTATAAACAGGCATCAATCTCAATTTTCCGACAATCCTAAATTGGCATCAATTTTCATTTTTTTCGCATTTGCAAATAAGCAGCAATCTCAAATTTTCCCACATTTGTAAATGGGTAGCAATCTCAATTTTTCCGACATTGTAAATAGGCACCTATCTTGATTTTTCCCACATCCGTAAGTAGGAACCAATCTCAAATTTTCCCACATTCGTAAATAGGCAGGCACAAAACTCAATCGTCCCACATTCATAAGAAGGCATCAATCTTAATTTTATCACATTCTTAAATAGACATCAATTTCAATTTTCTGACATTCCTAAATAGGCATCAATTTTAACTTTCCACATTTGCAAAAAAGCAGCAATTTCAATTTTCCCACATTTGTAAACAGGTAGCAATCTCAATTTTTACCACATTCGTAAATAAGCATCAATCTCAATTTTTCCCACATTCATAAGTAGGCACCAATCTCAAGTCTTCCCCCATTTGTAACTAGGCACCAATCTCAATTTTCCCACATTCATGAGAAGGCACCAATCTCAACTTTCCCATTAATGAGAAGGCATCAATCTCAATTTTCCCACATTTGTAAAAAAGCATTGAAATCAAGCATCAAATGATGCAAGAGCGGCTACAGTAGAAATTTGGCAAGTTATATGTAAGGGGGCTACATAGCAGCAAAGACACAGAGAGTCTAAGCTGAGAAAAAGCAGACCCCTATAATTATTTTTATAGACTTTGACCATGCATCAAATGATAATAACCCTTGTAGGAGTACTGTGATTTCCCAAATAAGCCACCTACGCAATTTCAAAGGATCAACAGACAGCCAAGAGTAATTACAGCACCTTTGTATTTCAAATTCAAGCCTCTAAATCAGTCTCAATTTTTTCACATAGGTAAACCATCTCTTAGGCGTAAAGAAATCAGCGGTTTTTTTTTTTTTAAATTTCTGACATCCCTAAATAGGCATCAATTTTAATTTTCCGCATTTGCAAATAAGCAGCAATTTCAATTTTTCCCACATTTGTAAACAGGTAGCAATCTCAAGTTTTACCACATTCGTAAATAGGCACCAATCCCAATTTTTCCCACAATCATAAGTAGGAACCAATCTAAATTCTTCCCACATTCATAAGTAGGCACCAATCTCAAGTTTTCCCACATTTGTAAGTAGACACCAATCTCAATTTTCCCACATTCATGAAAAGGCATCAATCCCAATTTTCCCACATTTGTAAATAGGCACCAATCTCAATTTTTCCACATTCATGAGAAGGCATCAATCTCAATTTTCCCACATTTGTAAATAGGCACCAATCTCAACTTTCCTACATTAATGAGAAGGCATCAATCTCAATATTCCCACATTAGCAAATAGGCATCAATCTTAATTTTCCCACATTTGTAAAAAAGCATTGAAATCAAGCATCAAATGATGCAAGAACGCATACAGTAGAAATTTGGCAAGTTATATGTAAGGGGGCTACAAAGCAGCAAAGACATAGAGAGTCTAAGCTGAGAAAAGGCAGACCCCTATAATTATTTTTATAGACTTTGACCATGCATCAAATGATAATAACCCTTGTAGGAGTACTGTGATTTCCCAAATAAGCCACCTACGTAATTTCAAAGGATCAACAGACAGCCAAGAGTAATTACAGCACCTTTGTATTTCAAATTCAAGCCTCTAAATCAGTCTCAATTTTTTCACATAGGTAAACCATCTCTTAGGCGTAAAGAAATCAGCGGTTTTTTTTTTTTAAATTTCTGACATCCCTAAATAGGCATCAATTTTAATTTTCCGCATTTGCAAATAAACAGCAATTTCAATTTTTCCCACATTTGTAAACAGGTAGCAATCTCAAGTTTTACCACATTCGTAAATAGGCACCAATCCCAATTTTTCCCACAATCATAAGTAGGAACCAATCTAAATTCTTCCCACATTCATAAGTAGGCACCAATCTCAAGTTTTCCCACATTTGTAAGTAGACACCAATCTCAATTTTCCCATATTCATGAAAAGGCATCAATCCCAATTTTCCCACATTTGTAAATAGGCACCAATCTCAATTTTCCACATTCATGAGAAGGCATCAATCTCAATTTTCCCACATTTGTAAATAGGCACCAATCTCAATTTTCCCACATTTGTAAATAGGCACCAATCTCAATTTTCCCACATTTGTAAATAGGCACCAATCTCAACTTTCCCATATTAATGAGAAGGCATCAATCTCAATATTCCCACATTTGTAAAAAAGTATTGAAATCAAACATCAAATGATGCAAGAATGCATACAGTAGAAATTTGGCAAGTTATATGTAAGGGGGCTACAAAGCAGCAAAGACACAGAGAGTCTAAGCTGAGAAAAAGCAGACCCCTATAATTATTTTTATAGACTTTAACCATGCATCAAATGATAATAACCCTTGTAGGAGTACTGTGATTTTCCACATAAGCCACCTACGCAATTTCAAAGGATCAACAGACAGCCAAGAATAATTACAGCACCTTTGTATTTCAAATTCAAGCCTCTAAATCAGTCTCAATTTTTTCACATAGGTAAACCATCTCTTAGGCGTAAAGAAATCAGCGGTTTTTTTTTTTTTTTAAATTTCTGACATCCCTAAATAGGCATCAATTTTAATTTTCCGCATTTGCAAATAAGCAGCAATTTCAATTTTTCCCACATTTGTAAACAGGTAGCAATCTCAAGATTTACCACATTCGTAAATAGGCACCAATCTCAATTTTTCCTACAATCATAAGTAGGCATCAATCTAACTTCTTCCCACATTCATAAGTAGGCACCAATCTCAAATTTTCCCACATTTGTAAGTAGACACCAATTTTCCCACATTCATGATAAGGCATCAATCCCAATTTTTCCACATTTGTAAATAGGCACCAATCTCAATTTTCCCACATTCATGAGAAGGCATCAATCTCAATTTTCCCACATTTGTAAATACAGCACCTTTGTATTTCAAATTCAAGCCTCTAAATCAGTCTCAATTTTTTCACATAGGTAAACCATCTCTTAGGCGTAAAGAAATCAGCGGTTTTTTTTTTTAAATTTCTAACATCCCTAAATAGGCATCAATTTTAATTTTCCGCATTTGCAAATAAGCAGCAATTTCAATTTTTCCCACATTTGTAAACAGGTAGCAATCTCAAGATTTACCACATTCGTAAATAGGCACCAATCTCAATTTTTCCCACAATCATAAGTAGGCACCAATCTCAAGTTTTCCCACATTTGTAAATAGACACCAATCTCAATTTTCTCACATTCATGAGAAGGCATCAGTCTCAATTTTTCCACATTTGTAAATAGGCACCAATCTCAAATCTTCCCCCATTCATGAGAAGGCATCAATCTCAATTTTCTCACATTTGTAAATAGGCACCAATCTCAACTTTCCCACATTAATGAGAAGGCATCAATCTCAATTTTCCCACATTTGTAAAAAACGCATTGAAATCAAGCATCAAATGATGCAAGAACGCATACAGTAGAAATTTGACAAGTTATATGTAAGGGGGCTACATAGCAGCAAAGACACAGAGAGTCTAAGCTGAGAAAAAGCAGACCCCTATAATTATTTTTATAGACTTTGACCATGCATCAAATGATAATAACCCTTGTAGGAGTACTGTGATTTCCCAAATAAGCCACCTACGCACTTTCAAAGGATCAACAGACAGCCAAGAATAATTACAGCACCTTTGTATTTCAAATTCAAGCCTCTAAATCAGTCTCAATTTTTTCACATAGGTAAACCATCTCTTAGGCGTAAAGAAATCAGCGATTTTTTTTTTTTTTAAATTTCTGACATCCCTAAATAGGCATCAATTTTAATTTTCCGCATTTGCAAATAAGCAGCAATTTCAAGTTTTCCCACATTTGTAAACAGGTAGCAATCTCAAGTTTTACCACATTCGTAAATAGGTACCAATCTCAATTCTTCCCACATTCATAAGTAGGCACCAATCTAAATTCTTCCCACATTCATAAGTAGGCACCAATCTCAAGTTTTCCCACATTTGTAAGTAGACACCAATCTCAATTTTCCCACATTCATGATAAGGCATCAATCCCAATTTTCCCACATTTGTAAATAGGCACCAATCTCAAGTTTCCCACATTTGTAAATAAGCACCAATCTCAATGTTCTCACATTTGTAAATAGGCACCAATCTCAATTTTCCCGCATTCATGAGAAGGCATCAATCTCAATTTTCCCACATTTGTAAATAGGCACCAATCTCAACTTTCCTACATTAATGAGAAGGCATCAATCTCAACTTTCCCACATTAGCAAATAGGCATCAATCTTAATTTTCCCACATTTGTAAAAAAGCATTGAAATCAAGCATCAAATGATGCAAGAACGCATACAGTAGAAATTTGGCAAGTTATATGTAAGGGGGCTACAAAGCAGCAAAGACATAGAGAGTCTAAGCTGAGAAAAGGCAGACCCCTATAATTATTTTTATAGACTTTGACCATGCATCAAATGATAATAACCCTTGTAGGAGTACTGTGATTTCCCAAATAAGCCACCTATGCAGTTTCAAAGGATCAACAGACAGCCAAGAATAATTACGGCACCTTTGTATTTCAAATTCAAGCCTCTAAATCAATCTCAATTCTTTCACATAGGTAAATCATTTCTTAGGGGCAAAGAAATCAGCGGTCCGCAGCAAATCAGCAAAACAATTGAGAACAAATATAATAAGGGTGCCAGGAGAAGGAATTTACGATCGAGAAGTAGACGATTTCCAAGCATCAGTAAAATCGAGAATATCATATCAAACTAAAATGTCAAGAGTCAAATCCAGAAAAATGCTAGGGATCAGCGAGGGACGGGAAATGAATAGTAAATAAAAATGGCTTCTTTGATTTTGGAGAGAAGGAAAGTGTCCGACACATACCCCAAAATATATATACAGACATACCAGAAATATATATATGTATATATATCAGGAAAGTCGAACACAGAAAAAAGTGGTAAAGAAGACCCCCAAATGCGAAAAACGTCTACCGTTGCTCAGCCGAGTCACCCACCCACTGTTTCACCGTCATTGTATGCCTAGCACCGTCCTTCAAGAACGTTTCACGGTCAGGGGACTAATAATTTGTCCCGCGCCCGCGAAGTCGCCACCTCAGAATGACCGTTGGGACTTGGAATTAGGGTTTTTTTAACTTTCCATTTTTTGGGCCAAATGGCGGTTCTGCGCTGAAATAAAAATTAAATATTTATCAATTGCATTCTTATGATAATTATATTAGCGCTTATAAAATACTACTATCATGTTTATTTATTTTAAAAAATCTACAAATCATGGTATTCTCCGTAAAAATATATTTTTACAATGTATCGTATTTATGTATTTTTAAGAAATTTTAGAATAAATTAGAATTTTTTGCTAATTATAATTATTTATATGTAATAAGTAAAAAAGTTAACACTTTCAATGAATATATTCTATTGTAAAACATGTAACATACTAAATTATATATGATTTCTTTTTGTAAAATGTTACTTGCCTCCTATAAATCAATATACATTCTGGTTTTATTACTTATTTTTTTTATCAACAAAAGTTTTCCTCTTTTTTTTTTGGGACATGAACCAACAAAAATTTACTTTGAAATCAAGAAAGCGGGACATGACGTCATAAGAAAGAGCACAAAAAAATAAAAATATATGTTAAATATTTTTATTTTAATTTTATTCATTCGTTACTCTCTCTCTCTGCCTGCCAGTTATTGAATAAATATTTTTAAGACATTTAAAAGAAATATAATTTAACAGAAAAAATGAAGTAAAACAATCTAAGTATACTTATTTTATAAATTTTAATTTTTATTATTTTTCATGTAAAGCTTTAAATAATTTAGAACTTTTAAAAATTAAAGTTTTTCAAATTCAATAGTGAGTCATCTATAATAATATATCTAATATATATTTTAATATTTAAAAAATTATAATTTTCGATATTCTTCAATGCACAATTTTCTATGTTTAAATGGTTAGATATATTTATCTTATCCAAATAATCCGCTACTCTTCACCAGTTAATATGCATGGACACGAAGCCATCATGAGTAAGAAAATGGTAATTTCATACATCTTAATTATAACAATAGGGACAAGTTCACATTCTAATGCAAACAAAGCAGAATTTTGTTTTGAGTATATTTTTCAGCCCCTATTTCACCATGGTTGAGCTTTATATAAATATATATATGAGATATTCATGACAAAACAATAATCATTCGATCTTCAATATAGGACCTAATTATTAAATTGATTTTTGTTCTAATTATAAGACATACTTCTTATTTATTAATTTTTTCTAAATTACCCTTACAAATACTTTCTCAACCATAATCAAGTAGAAGAGGGAGAAAGAATATTAAAGAAGATGATTATGATGTTTTAAGAAAAACATCATATTTTTTATAATTAACTAACTTACCCTACTTCCTTCCTGATCAAATTAGTTAAACAGGTCTTATATTAAGAAATTGAAGAGTATCATTTTTGTATTAAGCCTAAGGTATTTACTGCTGATAATGATGATTAATCTCCCCCACCATGAACTTCCCAAAGAGACTTTAGTGTTAGTCACGGGACCTAAGTCTCCAATAATGATGTTTCTTCCAAGTATTGAGAATTAAAAAAGTTATTCAAATTTAAATTGAGAACGTGATATGGTAGTAATCTATTGTATAGAAATTGGACAGGATTGAGAATTCTTTCTCAAATAAAAATAGTAATTGCTAAATGTACATAAAAAGTTTTTAACCAAAAAAAATAAAACTCATATAAACCAAAAAATGTTTGAATCCTAGATTAATCAATGACGGTATCAAATACTCAATGAAGAGAGGGAGTCACAAGCATCAAAATGCAGGGCCGCTAGTCCCTTGACATCCCTCCAATGCCATTTCTTTATGGTAACTTCGTTAAGGATGACGGGGACAAAAAGCCTTCCGTGCTCCCCTTAAGAATTCTCTCTTACGGGCATAAAAAGTTAATAAAAAGGGTACTTATCCTCTTCTTTGGTCAGCCTAACGTGTTAAATCCGAAGTTAATTTTTGCCGCTGAACTTATCTTCATCGCTCCTTCACTCAGATCAAATTTTAAAAATCAATCAAATTAATCCCAACAGTCTTCAGTCGTAGTGGAGTCTCCACTTGTTGGAGAGGAGCTACTTCCGTTACATCTTTCTTCTGCTTCTTCTGGGGGATGACAAATACATACTACCACATTCCCTAAAGACAATACCATATTACACAGCCAAACAAAATGAATACATTAGTTACTGGGAGGAAAGGGGAAAAAAAAAAGTATACAGTAGTGACATATTTGGTAAATTATATACACACTTGCCACGCCAAACAAACAATTAGGAAAAAAAGAAAAAAAAAAAAAAGAAAGAAAGAATAGTATATGCAAAATTGAAAGTGGCCATTTTCATGGTGCAATCTATCCTTTGAAAAAAAATAATTACTAGATACTAACGCAGACTGCACATTGTTCGGATGGGAACAACAGGAGCAAATCCTCTCCCTCCAAAAACAGGACGCATAAATGAATCGTCGAAGATTCGCCAATAATGATGAACAGCACGATTGGAATCAAGGGGATTACCGATGTCAACGTTAGATTCGGAATCATGCCCGCTGGAGAGTAATGGTAGAGTCAAACGCTTACTGGGTAATGAATCTGAATCCGTTGAGATACCCGAATGCCTAGGGGGATTCAATAATAGCCTCATCAGAGGCTTGGTCAATAATCCTCCTACCTGCGTTTGCCCAGAAAATTCCCAGGTTAATAATGCCATCACATCTGGACATTAATCTTATTGCAGAACAAAGTCTAATGCCTTTAAAAGACAAAACTTCGATTGTTCATATGTATATGTGTGTTTGAGTGTGTGTGTGTGTGTGTGTGTGTGTGTAAGAATCTGAAAGCAAAGACCCTAGAATACCGCATTTGAGCTGTGGAAATTCAAATGGGCACTCAGTTACCAACAATTCTTACCACATTAGTTAAGAGAACAACTATGATGGTGCTGGTAATCATGATGGCATTTCCGGGCAGTTGAGTATGTCCTGATCTAGTAAACTGCGCATATGAAAAGTTACAAGCTTTTAGCCTTGTAAAAGATAAAATGAAGAGAAATATAAACAACTGGTCACAGTTCTCCAGTCTTACTTGGTGACGGCACAAAACTCATTATTGTACCTTATTGTATGCAAGTGCCACAGATACAGCACCACGCATGAGCCCAGCCCACCATATCACAACCTGTTTCATCATGCATAATTATTTCAGAACTGTTGGTCAGGACGTTTTTTTTTTGGGGGGGGGGGGGGTGGGGGATACCTCAAAGCACTTACCTGCTGCTTGAATGTAATTTTCTCGGTGTTAGACTTCCTAAATAAATTGGCTATGCTTGACAGGGGAAACACAAAAAAGCTGCTCTTCCAAGGAGAACCAAGCCTAGCAGCATTCCACTTGCTCCAACTAATGTCCAAGGACTTGAAAAGAATAGAAGTCAAATTACAATATTGCTTCCTCACGCCAGAGGTACAATATGTACAATTTTTCTTTGATAAAATACTCCACTGGAAAATGTCATTACAAGGTTATAGGACAACTTTGAAATAACGAAGTCTCAAACCAATACCTCTTGCTGGCAAATTTCCATTTTTCAATGTCCAAGGCATCCATGCCGACATATAAGAAGATAAAAATCTCAGAGACAAATGAGAAAGTTGCAAAAGCATGCCTAGAAGTACAGATAAACATCACAAGGAAGATGGTTAGTTTTGCTATTTTATTGGAGTTTAACGAAGGAAAAAAATATCATCTACACTAGCAAATCATAGCACCTAATATACCTGCTTGTAACTTTAGAACAATCAGAAACATTATGCCAAGTGTAGTGTGACATGGCAATCCCACAAAAGAACACGGTAAGGATCCCACTTAAATTAACAAGCTGGAAATTGAAGTTGCCAACGTTTAGATTATGAATATACTGGGCTGTTAAAAACATGCATAAACTGGAGAAGTGCTGACAAAATTTATAGCATTAGAATACTCACTTCAGCCAACATATAAGATAAATAAGCCATCAGAAGCATAAGAGCAATTTCTCGATCTGTAGAATGCCTGCAATTGAGTGTAAATTTTGTAGGTTCAGTTTTCGGCAACAAGATATTATAACAGCTGGAGCATGCCAATTTTCTGCTGATTACAGCAGGGAAGGACCTAATCTAAGCCAGTCAGATGAACGTTAAATCAATAAATAGCATCAGTCCTGAGTTGCTAATGCAAAATATCTGGCACAAGAATAAAGACTCGTTAAAGGCAGGTGAACAAGGTAATTTCATTGACGGGTTAAGAGCAGGAGTGGCCATTACATGTGATCATATTCAATGGAGTGGTCTATAAATTCTTTATTAGTTGCTGACTAAGAGAAATAAAGCATGACAAGAAAAAGACAAATGAATGAACCAGTGTAGAGAAATAAAGGATGACAAGAAAAAGACAACATGAATGAACCAGTGTAAAATAACAATGAACTAGTACCTGGCAAAACACAACTTCTTTATATATATGCACTGATCAAGCCAACCTAAAAGATCAGAAATATAGGTTTGTTAAAAGGGAAAAAATATAGGAAAGGCAAGAGTTTTCTTAATCCAGCAATCAAATGCAACTACTCAAGGATTTCCACAAAACAATATGGTGAGTATATCTGCCGGCAAAAGATTTTCAAATCCCAGGCTTCTATCTACATTTATACTTGTCAGTTTGTTTCTGTGGGTGTGTGTCGATGTAGGGCATGAATGATACTAAGAAAGAAAAGAGGCAAAAGTAATCCAGCTACTGATAGAGAAAAAAGGAGCAGCACAATTGTTGTCTGATTACAGTAATTAAAAGGCAGGACAGTAGTTCTCATTCATAAGCCAGTATGATGCCGTATATCGACCATGATTACGAGCATGCTACCATCTAGAGAGGAATAAAAGGAAAAAAAAAAAATTAAAAGCCAAGGACATACCCCTACTCCCAAAAAAGTGCTGAACAGGAACAAATATAAGAAATTGCCAAAAAACTG